AACTGGGCATAACACCTCAGATCTTTGGTTATATATTCATTATTGATCAGGGGTCTGCAAACTAAGGTCCCCAGATCGCATCCATTTTGAAATTAACATTTTCCATAAGTTTTTCACAGCCGTCTAATGTATTATACTGGCTGTATGGAAAAATCCAATGAAAAAAGAAAAAGTATTATACATGTTTTTTTTTTTTTTGTTAATTAATGCCTTAAACGATCCTATATTTTATTATTTATTTGATTATAATACATAATTAAGTACCACCAAATATTTTCAGTATTTCGTATTATTGAGTATTGACATCTTAGTAAAAACTAAGGTATTTCTAAGCAGCAAAATGCTACCAAGGTAAACAAACATTATCATTTGGAAGAGGATTAATAAGTGTTGACATTCATACAGATAAATATTCCAATAAACGTAAACAGTTTGTTATATAGAGGGGTATTTTAAATAAAACTCAAAATCCTGCATTATTATCCAGACAACCCAATATAACGGTAAATACTCCAAAAGCTTATTGATAGATCGACACTACTCCAATTTGATGAGTTGGCACAACATTTCACGATCACAATATCAATGATATTCTGACGATGGCTGAGTATAGGCATGTTTACGAGTGTAATCTCCATTTCCTTGAATCACAATTAACCACCAACTTGTCCAATCAGATGAAAATCAGTGTGTTAATTAGCTTTAATTGTAGCTAAAGCCACCTCTGCTTGATTTCAAACACATGGCCATTTTAAGAGCAACAACTATGTGATAATTGTCAACAATGATTAACTTCATGTTGAAACCCATAAATACAAGTTAAAAAATATAAACTTTTCTCACATTTTTCGCAAAGGATTTCCCGTTTCCATCATCAAAAGTAACTGGCCTGATATTCTTTAAATCAGTCACCATTTTCGAAAATAGCAATTCTGGAACGGCAGACAAGATTCTTTTTACTCAGAATAACACATACTTTCATAATTTACAATCAAACCTTCGCCTGCGATCAGGTCGATTTTTGGCCCTTGGGTCCAGGGCTATAAATCAAACTTTTCTGCAACGGTATTGAAATAGATTCACTCTTAGCCCAACCGTCTTGTTGGAGTAATACCATAAAACTTATATTTTAGCTGCATTGATAATTACACTAATAAAACCATTGCACTATATACCATTTTAACATTGGATACTACTCTGCAAGTATTGCTCCACTATGAATGGCATAAGATCTCATGATGACACTATAAATGAAAAACTGAGAATGGCAAGGTATGTCTGAAAAAAAGGTGACCAAACCCTGTAATAAGGATCCGACCTCATCTGAAAAGAATCCATCTGTTGAACTCGTAAGAGCAAGCTTAGCAAGAAAAATTTCAAAACAACTAACTAATTAAAGCTAATAAAGCCCACGATATTAACTAAAAAGGACTATTTGGGAGTTGATTGAAGTCGTAAATTTTAATAAATAAAGGGAAGTATTGGAAATGTATATAAAATTTATTCAACATAAACAAATGTAACATATATGAATTATTAATGCTATTGATTAATGTGTTGTAATTATAGAGATGAATATCATGCAGATACACCAAAACTTTATCAGGGTTTAAGAAGTAAGATAAAATAATATAAATTAAAGAATGTCATTGGTAGAAACTCTATCTTCAAACAATATAAAACAGTCCAATATTACCTAATATAATCTATGTAATACATATTACATTATGTACATTTTAAGATTTATCCTTTTTTGGAATTCTTTTTATAGTTTCATCTCGTGATCGATTCAATGATCGTATGATCTTGGTCTACCCATCGAAGTAGGACAATAGTGGAAACTAGTAAATAAAGTGGACTATCCACTATGTTCATGAACCAACAGTGCTCCGGTTGGTTTTGGGAATATGGCCACTCTGCAAGTGCTCCAGTGTTCACATGATCGTTGAAGAAACAAGATGTCAGCTGAGCCAGTAACAAGTGCTATATTTTCAACCATTAATTGGTAGAACTTATAAAAAAAACTCTGTTTAAGGCGAGCAAAACTTTATGAACAGAGTTAAAAACGATTCACTGTTGGACCTAAGATCTCAAGAACTACAGGCACTACAAAAATTATTTGCGAACGTCTTACTTAAATTTCAAAAATCTTTTAAACTTGGGGTACTAGTTCACAAGAGTTCCGCACGGATAAAGTGTGGTTCACAATCACTTCGATCACACTTGTTCATGGAATCCCAAAATCAGCCGAATGTGGTAGTATTTTATGACGTCAGCTATTGCCACAAAAATCCCGTTTCATGCATTTTTGAAAGAAAACAAAAACGTATTCCCTTCATGGAACTTCCTTATTAACAATTTATTAACGATTTGTGTATTTACTAATTAGTTATGATGATCATAAACTGTGTATAAAAGTTTTTTTTATCGTTTGAATAATAAATAATTTGAAGTTATCTATTATCTTTTTATTTGTTATTCGAGTTTTTCAATAGAAGTTGAAATAATTGAATTTATAATTTATTTTAGCAAGCTTTTTTTAGTATTGCGCAATGGTCTATCTAGTTTAGTTATTTTCGAGAAAGGAATTAATGTATTGGGAAAACAACTGACAAAGAATACCTGATAATTCCAAGATAATGAATAATGGAAATTATCAATAAGAAAAATAATATCGTGAAATAGCATTCAGAGATGTAATAATTAAAGGTTTTTATTTATTAATATTTATTGTTTACAGATCTATAATATATGTACAAGTTCAAATGTAAGTCGGCTCCTGCTATATAACTGAACATGGTTAAGGTTATAGAAGTACTTAAATGGCGGAAAAGTTAATAGTAACTGTCCCAAGACATCGGTTGCCTTCGTTCTCTTTCGGATAAACACGAACACATTCGGGATTCCATGAACAAGTGTGACCGAAGTGATCGTGAACCATGCGTAATCCGTGCGGAACTCTTGTGAACTAGTACCAAACTTGGTTAAGCTTTACCAGGATAATCTCGCATACAGCAAAATGATTTTGCCCACTGGAGATCTATCTATTTAGTGTTTTTTTAATAATTTAAATTTCTAGGAATCGACAATACTGAATATTTTTGGTATAATTCTATTCCAGAAGACATTTTTTCCCATCCATTCCATTGTACAGTTACAAAAGTGACCAATGTTGGCTAGATGCTGTCCACAAACTTGCTCTGCTCCCCTTGGGAGTTCAGGCAAAAATCAAGAGCCAGAAAAGCACTATAGAATATTCTCGAACTGTTTAATGCTTGGAGTCTGGATTGTATCAACTTGCTACACGCTTGAAGCACTATTGGTTCGTGAACATAGTGGATTCCCAGCTTCACATAGGTCTAAAGGCAAGAGTACAAACGAGCTGATTAATAATTTAAAGAAAACATTTGAAGTTTCCTTTAATTTTCAAAAATAAGAGGTACAATATTATCAATATTTTAATTATACAAATGATTCATTTTTTACCATAGGCAACAGCACAACACTAATTTAAAACTTTAAATTTAATATCATTAGTGATATCTGTTATGATAAAAATTAAGTCAATTTACAAAAATAAGCAGTACAATACACATTGATTGGTAGGCTGTGTTTCAAGTAAGACCGTAATTAATAAGAATTGCAAAACTTCCTACGATTCCCCAAATTAATAATGTATAAAATCGAATAACGTAAAGTCGTATAAATTCCTAGATTTAAGCAACATTAACACTAACAGCTCCGTCTCGATATTAACGCATCTTAAGTTATGAATGCAAAGCATACAAGAAAAATGTTAATTGGGCATAACACATTACAATAAATAAGACTATTTTATTATTATTGTAACTTTTCAACATGTTAATTCAACCAATTAATTATAACATATTTATCAATAATTCTTAATGATATAATCACGCATAAACATACCCGCTAAACCTAAGTATTGACTATACTCAATCGCGATGAACATTACAATCAATAATTTTATACTATTTTGAATATGAAAAATAATACAAAACTTCAGATATATGTAAACAAACCAAAAACCTGACAAAGCCTATTCATACAATGTATTTCTTATGTTATCACCATATTAATAACAAAACCTAAAACAAAATAGAGCAAGTATTTCAACCAACGGTAATTTGTTTATTCCTAGTACTCGACCTAAACCTAATCTAGAAATTATTTGGAACAAATTCTTAAAAAACAAATTGAATGGAAAAATTTAAAATAGCTAAATGAAGTTATAAAAACTAAATCTACCTAAATAAATAGAATAAACACAAATTAAAAAAAAAAATTATCAATCATCAACGGTAGCGTCTGTCTTGAATATGTAGGTGATGTTAAAAAAACCGGTCATGTGTGCATCTAATCAATAATGAGTTGTGTAAATAAAGAAAATTACCATTAATACACCAAAAAACACTTCTCAACCAAACCAATGCATAGATTTAAAAATAATAAATTAAGAGAAATTAAAAATATACAAATAACCACATACCCACTCACCAACCGAACGCGCCGAGCAAATTCACACAGCCTTCTATACAACATAAGCGGCCATATTACAGAAATATTTCAACATCTATACATTTATTGTAATCAATTAATGAACATATTAAAAATACTAGTATTAAAATAAAAGTAGTAAATATAAACATAAATTTACAAACTAATTCGAATCTTCCTTTTTCAGCCTATTAAATTATATTTTTATCCTTTCTACTTGATAAATTAACATTAGTAGTATTATAATTTTTAATTGAACAAAATAAAACTAAAAAATTAAAATTATGTAAATACGTATACAATAATGTAAATGCGGATTCATATATATATTATCAATATTATTTATAGATTAAACAAATTTTTTCTTACTGTGATTTAAAAAATACAATTTGAATGCATACATTACCTTAAAAATAGCGAAACTTTTTCTACTCTATCAGCTAAAAAAATCATGACGTACTACTAAATCTATTAAGCACCTGATCTAATTGACAACAGCTGAGTCGTCTGGGTTTTGGTTGAAGAGGTGAAAAATATTTTTCTATTAATTATGCTACTATTTACTAATATAATTTACCAATGTTTTTTCATAAATTATATGCTAATCTTTACAAAAACTTACAATTAATCCAATGTTTTAATACAGGTGAAAAAATGAGAGTTACCAAAGCACTTCTTGGACAACATTTTGGCGAATTAGCCTACCTTAGGGGCCTTGTTTATTATAAACTAAGCCCTTTTGAACAGAGAGCATTTGCTGGCTTCACAAAATCTTTATCTCGAACAGCTTACAGATTGTCTAGTAATCTTTTAACAGTGGTTCCACGTAAGATGTCTTATATTCTTTACCTTATACTTAAACAGCTGATTTATTTCTGTATGTCTTATCATAAATGTGTCAAAATATTTATTACTTTGTGTTTGAGTAATATAAGGATATATAATGGTAAAGATAGAGTAATCAATCCTAAAGCCATCATAATCCTGCCTAGTGGTTATGCATTTGGTTAATTAATGGTGTGCTTGACAAATGAAGATTTGTTGGAAATCAGTTGTTTTATCATATGTTCTTTAGGAACATGAAATGTTTAAATTACCTCTAAAAATTATTGTCTTAATGCTTTTCTGTTTTTTCAAGATAAATGTACTTTCAATTGGCACTGTACTTAATTAACAGTTTTTACTTCTTTAGTTAATATAAGCTTTATTCACCCTATAAATGGAGAAAAAACTAGCAGATCTACATCTAGAACGTTTGTGAGGGTAATGCTTAAACGTTATTTGATATCATGCTACAACTGTTGATTGGTAGTTGATTTCTTAATGGAGCAGAAAATAAGTTTAAAATTTTATGTGTGATTCGGAATAACTTTTGATTGAATTATTTACAAATGACCATTTCTCCTCTTCAGTTTGTGTAAAATTTATTTTTGTGGTGTTAATTATATTTAAAAAATATGTGTGTCAGTTACAAGAATTACATTTAAGCTATTAAATTTATAATTAACACCCAGGCCCAATACTGGTCCATTTCATTATTATTGTAATATTCTTTAATGGTTACCAATTTTTCAAAACTAATATTTTTACTTTATTTAATTTTGATAGCAGGAACTAGCAACAGGAATAGTTGTCTATTCCTCATACCAGGCTCTCTTAACTCATGGTTAGAAAATACACAAATTAAATGGTTAGTAATTATTAAATTATACAACATTGACTCAAGGTTAGAAATTATTGATCGTTTCTTCGATGAGGTTTCTATTTGTGCTGATGTTTTAAGAAAGTATGCAATTGGTTTTGTATAAGCTCAACGGCTCCAAAGAAATTAAAAATCTTGATTATAGTCATGCCTAATGCTGTTAGTGGTATCTATTACCTTCTTTTACTATCCACTGCTACTGGAAGAACACGTTCCACTTGTGCACTGAAAAAAAAAAAAGGGTGGCTTATATTCAATGATCATGAATAAATAATTATATATTATGCTATTACTTATTCTTGTATCCAAAGCCAAATTTTAATCAAATAGCGATAGAGTCCTTATACCCTTGTGAGAATGTCCTCTATTAATTTATGTCCTTTTGGAAAGCCTGACCGGCTATTCCTTGCAGAACTGGGTATCTTGTTTGTCCACCGGTCTTTATTCAATACATTCGGACCATCCCTTTTAGAAGGAGTTTCCTGCATCATCAACCCAGACGGACGCACTCTGGATTCACTCTTTGTAGGCAGGTTTCACTGAGTGAAAAAAGCGAATAGAGTATATTCACAAATATGCTTCACAGTCATTGGAAGGAAGGAAATAAGCAACGAGACAAGGCTCCTGGCTGTTTAAAACTGTATTCCTTCCAGTTTTGCTGCAATCATAGATCGCCATGCGAGCAACAGACGGTGACTGCACCAGAAATAAAGTACCTGAAAAGGATGCAGAGTAAAATCAACAAGGACTGCAAGAAGCAACCCTTTTCATAATGCCCAACAGAGCCAAGACCCATACCGACACAAACCATTCGTAATTGTTTGTGGGAAGGTAGTCTAACATCTTGTGCTCTCTTAAGATGACCTGCAGCAACAGTGCATCACTGGTAACTCTGTAGATTATGGTGCATTGAGCGTCTAAGTGAGGATATAAATTGCAATGCTGTTATGTTTACAGATGAGTGATGTGTCTATATTTACAATCATATTAGGGTGCTGAAGAGTCTACTGGGGATAGGATATGAGTACGCTGGTGCAGTTCATGCTTTCTTTAATGCAGTTTTCAGGTGCAATCTACTCAAATCGAAGATAGGATTCACTCCATATTGTGGACGATAATCTCATCGCAATTCGTTATGTTCAAGAAATTATAGAGGAGTTTACATTCCTCAAACTGGATGTTTCACATTTGCCTCTTTCCATATTGTCTGCGCAACTCAATCCCATTGAGCACATGTGGGGTACACTGCAGAGAAGACTTTTTGACCACCATCTGCACTTTTTTAACCTTCAGCAAGTGTAAGGAGTATTACAATTAGTATTAAGGAGTCTTTCAATTAGTATATGGTTTGAAATTCCTTGGAAAGTCAGTAAAAAAGTTATGAATAGGTGCAACGAGTTAGTGCCTAACAGAGGATATTATACAAATTATTAAATTTTATAAAATATTTACAATATGCAATGATATGAACAAGATTGCATAAACCTTTAATTTTATAATTTTTTTAAAACACCTTTTATGAAAAGGTCAAATGCAATCTTATTAATTTTAAATGTATTTTATGATACAAATTCTAGGGAAAATAAAGCATACATAACTATCAATATCCCTATTGATGTTTTAGAAGTATATTCTTCTTCTTTCTTCTTATTTGGCGTTACGACCCACTAGTTGGGTCATAGCCTGCTCAAGCTTAGACCGCCAGTCCTGCCTGTTCCATGCTGCTGCCTTCCAGTTCATAACACCGAGCAGAGATCTCTCATCTGCAGCCACGCAGTCTTCCCAGCGGTCTGGGGCGTCCAACCCGCCTTGTACCATACATTTGCCCAGCTAAGATCTTGTAAGAAACTTCGTTTGGATCCATCCTTATGACGTGACCAGCACAGCAAAGTCTTGATACCTTTACGAATGCTGATACGTCTATTTCTTTGTACCTCGCTCTTAACTCAGCATTCGTTCTTCTCCATGCGCCTCCCTCATATATACGGCGAAGCACTTTTCTTTCAAAACGGAGAAGGAGATGCTCAAGGACTTTAGTTGTAGTCCAACATTCTGAGCCATATGTAAGAACTGGTCGTATAATTGTCTTATAAATTCTCACTTTCGAGGCCTTCGACAACACATTACTTCTCAAGAGTTTATGGAGGGAGAAATATGTGCGGTTTGCGGAGAGGATCCGTCTTTGGATTTCTTCTTCAATGCAGTTATTACGGTTGATCTGGAATCCCAGGTATATCAATGATTCCACTCTTTCAAATCTATGGCGACCTATCGAGACATGACTCCCACCATCCTCGTGGGTAGGTAGGATGCACATATATTTCGTTTTTTCAACATTCACCATTAGGCCCAGTCTTGCTGCAGACTCCTCTAATGCTTTAAAAGCTTCTCTTATGGCGTTTAGAGTCCTTCCCGCAAGATCCAAGTCATCCGCAAATCCTAAAATCTGGACTGTCTTGTTGAGAAGTGTTCCTGTCACTTGGATTCCAGAATCCCTAATAGCTTTCTCTAGGGAAGAGTTAATCACTAAACAGGCCAGGCCATCACCCTGCCTCACACCTGTCCTCGTGAATCCTCTTGAGAGCATTCCGCCCACTCTAACAAAGCATACGTTGTCCTCCATCGTCATTTTCACCAGACAACCCAGTTTGGTAGGGATGCTCATATCCACCATTGCTTTATATGCTTCTACTCTGTTCACGGAATCGTAGGCTTGTTGGAAATCAATGAACAGGTGATGAGTATGTATCTGGTATTCTCTTGTTTTCTCTAACAGGATTCGTAGAGTAAACATTTGATCTGTCGTAGATGTTCCTTTTCGGAATCCAGATTGATACTTTCCGAGCTCTTGTTCGGCAAATGGAAGCAGTCTATTGAAAAGTATAATGGATAGAATCTTGTATGCGGTGGGAAGGAGAGAGATGCCTCTGTAGTTATGACATAAAGTCTATTAATCTTCAACGTCGCTGTACAGTGCGGGGCCTACTTTTGAACCTTATAGATGTATATACTAGCTGGACCCACCTTGCCTCTTCGATGACTCCGTGCCATTTGACCAGGTGTAGTGCTTCCACCTTCCAGTTCCTGATCCTTAAGAGTCTTCTAGCATCCAATGCTTCTCCTTCAGCCCACCACAGTCTTGGTCAATAGACTTTTTCGCTCATCTTGGCTATGTGACCAGCCCAACTATTTCCTCCAAGTCTTATAAGTTTTTACTATTTTTCAGAAGGTATATTATATAGTTGTATATTTTATTACATTGCCCAATGTTTCAACCTACATTCTAGATCTTTCTCAGGGCTATATAAGATATAAACAATACATATTAACTATTTGATTTTATATAAACAATATATAATTAATTATAGAAAGTTACAGTATATGTAGATGACTATTGACATTCAGTTCAATTGGGAAAGGTAATGGATGATTAGGATAACTAGAGTATATTAAGGGTAATAGTAGGTATACAAAGAGTAATAATAATAAGAGTCAAAACATACCATTCTGTCAGGTATTTTACTATTTTTATTTTATTAGTTTTTTAAAGGCTTACCTATCTGCTAGACCTTGTATCTTCTGATACATACGTTACAACAGTAGAGAGTACAGAATATTTAAATTAATTTCCAAACACATTTTAATATTCTCTTAATTTCCTGTCAATTAAGAGAGTTACATATTAGGAAATTTTCAAAACAATCCTGTAAAAATTGTTATGAAAAAAAGAATCATATTATTTATTATTGGCTGAAGAGCCATCATTCAAGTAAATGATTTTGTAATCTCAGGTTGTCTATGATTATTTTAGCTTGAGCACAATCGACATTTCAATAAAAATCTGATTCCATGCATTTAGGACTTATTTCTTAAGGCCTTTTCCTCTTTTTTTTTCTTTTTTTTAAGATATTGATTTTCCTAAGCCCTTTTATTTATGATAGTATTTCTTTTAATGTAAAGTATTGATCATATTTTAATTATTTCAGCATTTATTGTTGGATACTTTGTATTTACTGAAACCGAAAAAACGTTTCATCAGATGTGCAGAAAGAACCCTGAAGACTATGTTAATGACAAGTAGATTGAATCAGATAAATATGTAAATACTTATAGGATTAACTAGAACAATTGTAATTTATTAATAAAGTTTGCCAAAAAAAAAATCTTGGTATTATTAATATTTACCTCATTAATATTATTTCCTTTTTTACTTTCACTTACCTATATCTGTAATATATAGTAAGAGTAAGTATTGCGATTGTCAAAATTTTTCGATTGTCTGCTATCTGCAGTTATCTTGTTATTTAAAGTGTTGTTTTTGTTATTTATATTTCTTATCATTAAATTACTATATTATTATTATATTTATATATATTAATAGAAAAGAGACAACACCAAATATATTTATATTTCTTTTTATACGAGAGTCTAATTTCATATGAAGATAGCGGTTATCAGTGCCTTATAACAATTATCAGTGTTCAAGTTATAACACTTTAAATAATAAAATAACTGCAGATAGCAGTCTATAGAGGCCGCGTCGCTCACGAGTACCTCATCTAACCGGAAGTGGCACTTTATGTAATACACTAAACCCATTTTTACAATTATCTCGAAAACCGCTCTAATGATTTTGATTAAATTCATTATATCAGTGTAAAATTAAGCAGTTTTAAATAAAATGTTATTACTTTGATTGAAGTTCTCTAACAGAGCTTAAATAGCTAATTTTCAATATTAGGTTCCTCTGAAGCACCTTTAATTTTTTTTTATTTGAAACAATTGACCATTTCTAACTAATTTGTAATATGAAAAATGATTAAATATAAAATATGAAAGAATTTGATAAATAACTTAAGGAGAAATAAGAGATCGTAACGGTTGTATATTGTAATTGAGGAACGAAGGAATACTAACGCACTCAAGCTTCGCCCGAAAGATTAAAACACGCTTCCATACATATCATGAGATTAATGTAATAATACGGCCTCCAAGAATATTAAATAAATACACATATGTGATTTTCATAAATATTATTGGTGGTATTATTTAATATTTAATTGTATAGATTACAGTGATATAAATATTAAAATTTGTATATATGAGGGTACTTATACAAATAAAAATACCCACAATAAAACATAAATCTATAATTTTTACTTTCACTTCTCTTTGTCTGAAAATACTTATTTCTGCTAGGAAGACGGTAGTAAGTGAAAGTTGTGTGATGTGCGCACGACACTAGATTTTTTAATTGTAATTTAGATTGAATTAATAAAAATAATTACAGTGTTTTTATAACATTTCTGGTTTTAGTAAGGCATAATAATACTTATGTATATGATTTAATCTTACCTTTTAATTGAGGATTTCATAAAGTCCTTAATGAGTATGAGTTCAATATTTACAAAAAAGGTTTTGATAGGGAGTAATTTATCCAACAACCTTTATAGGACAGATAACTGTCCTTTATTGATGTACTCACATCCAAAGCTCCTTGTGATTTTAATAGCCACATTTTTAAGATGATTTGTTTTGAATAACTTTCATTTCCACAATTTCAAATAAATTTGTTTTGCTTTACTAGTCACAATTATTGGTTGTATTTAAGCATGTTAGCTACTGGTCTGTATGATAGATATGCAATTAAATGTTGCATATATCCCATTGTATCAAGATTTAAGGTTTAGGCCTTGATGGAATAAATTTGGTAAATAGTAAAATTTGAATTTTGTATTCCTCCTAACTTTAATAATCTTAAATTAATTTGTTAATAATGCTCTATTTATTAAATAAATGATCTTGCATGAATACCTTAGTCCTTCATTTTTTTTTTTTTTTTTTTCTTTATGACATTTACAACTGTATTACATAAATACATCAAGTAAATTTGGACATAATTGATATAATGACATGAATACAATTGCTGAGTAACTACCCAATGGTAGCACTCTAATGATATGACTACATTAGGAGATCACGGGGCCATCTTCTTTTCAGACGCCTCCGAGGGTTATCAGGAATTGAAGAGGAAGCAAGGTTAGAAACGAGAGGGTTGGGATGATTATGAAGTTTATTATGGAAGGATAGGTATCTGGATTGGGCCAGATCTGAAACATAAGGAACATTAAGATCTTTATGGATAATTTTATTAGTGACAAAGTAAGGAGCATTGAGGATTTTACGAAGGATTTTGGATTGTAAGGATTGGATGCGAGAGGAATTCGATGGTTTAGTGGAGCCCCATAGCTCAACTCCGTAAGTCCAAATAGGTCTTATTATAGTCAAGTATATAAGTCTTTTGTAATTAATGGGAAGTTTAGAGCGTTTGTCTAGTAAGTGCTGAAGTAATCGGAAACGTCGAGCGGTTTCTTGTCGTTTCAGTCTAGTATGAGGATTCCAAGTTAGTCGTTTGTCCAGGTGGAGTCCTAGGTATCGGATTTGCTCAACAGGGATAAGTGGAGTATTATTAAAGGAAACTGTAGGACAGGAAGTCGTTGGTTTACGACGAAGGGTAAAGGTAATTTGGTGGGATTTATTGGAGTTTATTTTAATTCTCCAGTTTTGACACCATTCTTCTAGACTTATGATGTGTGATTGAAGCATTTGGGATGCAATTGCTGGGTCATTGTTTACTGATAGGATACATGTGTCATCGGCATATGTGGTGATGACAGTGTTGGGACAGGTAGGGATGTCAGCTGTATAAACTGTATAGATGATAGGACCTAGGATACTACCTTGAGGAACAGCAGCGGACTGGGAAGTCCTTCATTTAAATTATCTTTTTAAAGCTGGATCTTATTCATTCCTTCGATTCCTTTTCTTAGATCTCTCTTCTTTTTTTTTTTTTTTTTCCTCCTACTTTTAATCAAATTTATAATATTAAGTTGTCCCATTAGTCAGAATAGTTTAATAGAATAGTATCATCATTGATTTATTAACTTTTATCTGTTATTTTTAAAGTAGAGGTTACTGACTGGGGACACTTATTCAATGAAATGTTTTTTGATGATAGGTCGAAAAATATTAGACCTATGTCCGAGGGTTTTCCAATGCATCACCTCAAAAGTGATTTTTCAGGTTAATACTAACAATGAAATTTAATTGTTTTAAAATTTTATATTCCTTATTTTGTCCTCATTCTATCACTCAAGTTTGACTGAACAAAGAGTCAGGAGAAAATAAGAATAAAGAAAGGTAAAGACTCAGTACTAATAAATTTTATATTTTATTCAATGTAAAAATCTTATGTTTAATTATCGTATCACCTTTTCCAAAAGAATATAATATGTATCTGTGCATAGGCACCAGCACTGCAAAAGGAGAGACCGAAGCATTTTCTGCCCTCGCTAATATCTTTTAGTTATTTACATAAAACTACCAAAAAATTAAATGAATTGATCACTGAGCTATTCCTTTATATTTGTTGTTCTATCCCGCTTTCTTCTCAATACTTCCTAATTGCCGATTCATATTTTACTGTTAGTGGCTATCAACAAAAAACTGCCTGATGTGATCTGAGCAGTAGGTTATGGAGATACCATGATGAATTTGAAGAAGCACTAACCACTCTATGGTGAGTTTATTACAGAATGATTTCAAAATGTCAAATATCCTTAGTCCATCAAAGGTGATGAAACTCATTGATGTTTTTTATCAGTGAGACTTAAGTCTTCTTCTGATATTGACTTCCACAGAGATCTCAATCATTTTGATTAATTAGGATAGCATTCTGTCCTTCAGGAATTCTCAAATGAAGGCCTCTCTCGGCAGCCCATAGCTGCACACCTTTTGATGAGACCACCTTGTATATCTTCGTTACTGCCTGGTAGCTATCAACCATCCTTTGTCCTTTCCTCGTTCAATCTTTGTGATGCCGATCCTCGGCGGCTGCTCTCAGAGTAAAGTGCGTAGGGTCCACGACTTTCTTCCATGAAGTGGTACATCGCAGAACGAACAGGAAATGAAACAATGTGATGCAATAAACCTAGGGAAGCGAGAGGGACGGACAAGATTTATACCAGTCTCCATGGCCCTCATAAATAAGAATATTGGGATTGCCGGGAGAAGGAACCTCGTCACATCTGACAATGACTCCAAGAAAGAGGGGTTACTCTCGGGAATGAACGTCGAGTTGCAGAGGAAGGATTTAGTAGACGTGATGGAGAGTAAGAGAGCGGATGCCCAAAAAGACTTCATCATCTCTCGCTAGGAAGGCAAAAAAGGAGAACACCGAATCACGAGGGTAGCAAGCAATTGACTTACTCGGATATGCTTAAAAATGTAACCACCAAAAGAGCAGTAGGCGGGGTGAATGAGGCTCCTGTGTACGTAACCATTAAAGAAGCGGTAGACAACTGAAAAATTACAGATAAATGGAAGTAGCTCATGGTGGCAGACGTCCAAGTGAAGGTCTACCACGCTGGCGTGGCCGTTCTAGCCAAAACCAAGGGGACTGACCAGACCATGAAACTCTTGAGAGAAAGGTCTAGTGGCCAGGACGAAGAGGCCCCCAAAGTCGGAAGCAGAGACCTTAGGTAAAGTCCTATGGGATAAATTGGAATCACGGAAGCTGAAGAGACCTGGCTTAGGTCATGTTTCTCCTTCCTTGACAAAGGCAACCTGGAGAGAAGGTATGTGATCGAGGTCCACCCTGTAGGGAGGGTCATCCTCAGAGATAGGAAGAGGGTGGTGGACCATAGACATAAACGGTATGAACCATTGTGTCGGGAATAGGGACTGCCCGTCACACATTGAGGAGATAAAGGCGCAGGTCTAGAAGACCAGATATGTATGAGCTTAGATTGGTTCAGCTCAACATGGCCAGAAGATGCGTAGTGGGGGAAGAATTAAGGTAAATGGTCCCGCACTGTGATATAGTGGCAGTACAGGAGCCCTGGTGGCTGAGAGGTATGGTCACCGGGTTCGGAGTCTCATCGCAGGGCGGTGGCGCTGTGTAGTGGAAAGAGGAGGTCCAAGGCTGCCTTCATTATGTTCGACCCCGTCCTCGAAGTCATGGAGCTGGGGTAGCACATGACAGCGGACCAAGCGTTATGTTATGTTAAATGCAGAAATGCCTCTTTTGTATTGGTATCCTCCGCCTCAACAAGATATCACTGATAATGTTGCTGTTCATGAGGCTATTGCTCTCCGTTATCGGAACGTAATAGTCTTCTCTGAAACGAACTCGTGGAGCGCGGTCTGAGGATCAGTTAGGACAAATGCAAGAGGCATGACAGTTGAGCACTGTCTAGCCAGATGCCAGATAATTGTATTTAATGATCCCTCTGCACCCACGTTTGTGAGAGCGAGGGGTCAGAGCTGGATTGATGTAACCCTGGCTACTCCTGCCATGTCAAGGAGGATTACTGACTGGTTCCTTCGGTCTGACACGAGCTCTGACCACGAACCATAAGATTTAAGTTAAAGGACTTTGATCATTAGATCATTACTACGGCGAGAGAAAGATGGGGCTCGTAACGATAACGGCAGACTGGGAGGAGTGTAGGGTGTAAGGAAGGAAAGCAGTACTACGAGAGGAATGCCGAGGCAAGTATACGATACATAAGGCCGGAGTTCGACGCCAGAAGCGAGTTCATAAGAACTGAAAGTGAGAAAATTCACGGGGGAATACCGTACAGGGTTGCAATGGATAAACTTAAAATAATGGCGGCAATAAGATCAGCAGGTGGACCAACATCCACCCTGGAGGAAACAGTTGGAAGCTACTTGGACCAGACCTACCTCAGAGATGATCTGTCCCAGGACAACGAAGATGATAAGGCCCTGAGGAAGAATACGGAGTATCCGCCTGGGACGGAATTCATTTCATTCCATGGGACGTGTCTGACCTACGGATGGCGATTGACAGACAAAGGTAAGAAAGAGCCCCGGGACTCGACGCTATCGATGCGACGTTCTTAAATAGGAATGCTCAGGAATGAAGAAGAATTGCTTGAGATAATGAATGAATGCTTGGATAGGAGGCGCTTCCCAACTAAATGGAAGATCGACGATCTTTTTTTTTTTTTTGACCTCGCCTTTTAGGCTATACGGGATTTAAAATCCCCTCCTCTTTCAACTCAGAGAAACATGGAAAATCCCCTCCTCTTTCAACTCAGAGAAAAATGGAAATAACATCGACCCCTTATGCCCTGATACGGCTGAGGACGTGTTTATATCTTGCACAGCGATGAAGCAAGTCAGAGGCATATTGATGCGGAGGAGGGGACTGTACACCCTAGATGAAGAGAAATTTCTCTGACTGATGGAAGAGGAGAAATACCAACATTTCGTGGAGTTCGTAGGAAAATGGAGACAGAAAGTAGAGTCCACGCACTTCACGATAGAGAGAGGATTTCTACCAGCAGGCCAGGAGGAAGAGGGCCAACAGAGGCAGCATCAAACTGGTGGAAGCTACGCAGGACACGCAACCAGCTGGAGACTAAGGTGCGGCCCCATCAGTAAGGCGCATCCCTGTGCACCGTGACGCACCACAGTATACAACCATTAAAATTGAATACAAATAAAATAAAATAAAGAGCCTTATTTTGCAGCAGTAGACGTACGTATTCCCAAAGAATTAACCCACTGCTGCCGAAACCCCGTATGGAAAAAGTACCAGGAAGGGGGGAAAAATGTACAGTGCAAGTCTGCACGACGTGTTTCACTATATCCGGAACCCTACATGAGAGGCAACGTGAGTCGATTTATCACCCTCTAAATTCTGTCGCACGAGGCAGATGCCTCCTTAGCCCTTTCCTTAGTTTCGACCCTGGCTCCACCTCAAAAAATCCATACAGGATTTTACATTGAATATCGATCAAATTCCATTTGCTTGTCGCGGTTGGAGTCGATCGATCGACTGTGGTCAACTTTAGATATTTTTGGATATCGATGCTGAGTAGGTTCTTAAGATAATTATTTTTTTAATTGAGGAATCTTGGTGATAGAATGTAATTTAAATTTTATTATTAACAACAGAACATTTTTAGGTATCTTATTTTTTTTGAAAATTATGAGATAAGGTTTTGATTATCCTTCATAATAACCATACATTGGATTTTTAAAAAATGTATAAATGTACCATACCTGACAGGACTATAATTTTAACCAGGAAAGACAAGATTATATTCTTCTGCTCTTATTGTCCTATCCTTTGCCTTCCTAGTTCCGCCCGGCCGGACTGAACAATGCAACCTCTTTGTCGAACCTGTGTCTTATTTGTAACCTGCATAAATAGTAATCTTCTTATTGACAATTCTCGTTGGAGGATCTTATTGGTTAAGGGAACTGTTATTGCCCTCAAATTTATACTTTCGTTATGACTGTTGAAACAGTTACAAAATTAGAACAGAGAGAAAAAATAATTAAAAAAACCAAGAAATGGTTAAACGAACGATTGGGGAATGATGTTGATAATCTAATGCTTGTTAATGAAATTTATGAAGATTGGTCAAAAAAAAAAAATCAGCTTGAGCGTTCGGTATAAATATATTTATTTTATTTCATCTTCATTAATATTTATACAAAACCAAGTTTTGTGGTTCTACAAATTATGAAATTTTAGCTGGCTTCTGTTAGTTCTGAGGTCCCCTCCAAAGTGTCAGATGCTGCTCGAAATGTTGATGATGCCTGCATTTTTATTAATAAAACATTGGCAGAAATTGATGGTATGCTCGAAAAAATTAAGAACCAAACAGTGTGTTCTGAAAAATTGTATTGGAACCTTAAGGAATATTTTGACAAAATCAATGAACTTGACAGATTTTTATCATATCTTAAGGTTCTTAAAACAGCACAGGAAGCAAGGTAAACTAGTTTATTCATTAATTAATGTAAGATGGGGGGAAGGGAAGGAGCTTTGCACCCAGGGGTGTAACATTACTTCACAATAGACATCACTTATTCTATATATAGACCAGTTTATTGCAAAGTCTCTAAATATATTTTTGATGGGCTGAATTTTGAAGAACGTTTTTGTGAATTTTGACCTTGTTTGTTTCTTTTTATTTAATCTCCTCCTCTTCTACTGCACAGCAGTGTGAGGATCCCTTCAGTAGAGCTTGATCCAAGGATCTCTGTCTTCCACCATCCCTCTTCCCCTTTCCCACTACAGTCCTCTATATCAAAGGCATCCTTAATTGTGCCTTCTCGTTTCTTCCCCTTAGCCTCTGCCCTTCCACCTTTGTTTCATACATAACTTTCACTACCCTTTCTAACAACATGACCAAACCATAACAGCTGGTGTTCCTTGGTGATATCCTCAGCTGGCCTGTTCCATATTTGACATCATTGTCTTATTTCACACTCGATCTCTGTTGTACCTTGTTTGTATATAAAAAAATACTGCAAGTGCACTAAAATCACATAAAACCTTTTTGTGTAAAAAATATATCAAATATCTTTCTATAAAACATGCTATTTTCTGGTCTCTCAAAGGGAAAATTCATCAAAGTTCTTAGTGATTTAAGGTGATGAAATTTCACTTATTGATTATTTTCAATATAACAAATGATATGTATGTGTGTGTATATAAACACACACACACACACACACATATATATATATATATATATATATATATATATATATATATATATATATATATCAAATCATCTCCTTGCACAACCGTTGACCTAGAAACAGTGCTTTCCCTAAATAGTACTAAACCCAAGACCCTTCATGGGTTGTAGTGGTACAGGTTTATATATAATATTTTTTTTCTGTCACCATTTTCATACCTCGTACCTCTTTTTCCACCTTAACTTAGCCTCCTCCATCTCTGCCTGTCTTGGGCTATTTCTTTCTAGTTATTGCACACAGCTCTGTTGCATCTTTGTTGAATCTATCTATAGATCTGCTTTTTGGCCTTCCACATGGTCTTTTGCCTTTTGTTGAGGCATTCATTGTGTAGAGACTTCCAGATCGATTGCTTCGAGCTACGTGCCCATTCCATAGAGTTGTGTGCAAATAGCTGGAAAGAAATAGCCCAAGATAGACAAAGGTGGAGTAGGCTTGTTAAGGTGGCAAAAGATCCATAAGGTCTGTAATGTCCACAGAAAAAAAAAATATATATATATATATATATATATATATATATTTATATATACGCCATCAAAAATAATTTTTTTCACATTACGCATTGGTATTTTGAACGTTCATAATTTTAGTAACATAGGAGCTGTCTCTTTTTTGTAGCAAATTCATTATCTATAATTTGGCAATATTCTATCTTCTTTAGATGTGTTAAAATAAAATTTTAGCATTCATAGGAATTGATCCCATGTTATTAGTAGATCTGAAGACTGGATGACATCAACATTTTTAAAATGTGATTTATAACTTGTCTTACACTTTTGCATGCTATTGTCAATATTTTCTCTGTTCTTTTTCAGTAATAGTCTAAAGAGTAATTTATCCACTCAAGATGTAGATAAATCAATATTCGAATATAATTTGTTGTGCAATACTTCTCTCAGCCTAATGGATTCTAAATGCACACATTTAAAAGACTTTCTGTTTCAAACTACTAAATATTGGAATGGGATTTTAAAAGAAATCATATCTAAGTAAGTCACTGTTTATTAAGTATTGTATGACTTCTAGCAAAAAAATTGAATAATTTATGAAAACTAATGGTCATTTTATTTAAATATTATCTGAAATAAAATCAGGTACCGCTTCACAAGTATTGCTCCCACATGTTGAATGGGCACAAAATCACTCTATACATAGAATTCCAAATATTGACGTGTTCAGCAGTTAACCTACATTTATTTAGATCAAGATTTACAACTTCCGCAAACTCTTCCTATAGGTCCTTTTAAGTTAAAATTGATATCTTAATTAGCTGTAATGCTTTCGACTTCCAATCACTTAAAAAGTGTAAAGAAATCCCCAAAGCGTGAGATCTTGTGCCTTATCATTGAGATGAAGTACTTGAAACTAGTGAAGTAGTTGCCAAAATCATGTAGACATTGTTTGAATTTATTTTTTCTATCTTAAATATTTTTACAGAGCATTAAAGAATTTTTAACTTTAATTGTTTTAAAATATGTAATTCTTGGTTACATTTTTGGGATTTTATAAAATAAGGAAATGTAATGTGCTCCTGAGCATGATGATTAATTATAAAGACAAAAATAAAGCAATAAAGACTTATTGTCTTCCAAATTATTTGCATTGTAATTAATCTTAAATCAGATTGACAGGATGACAGTAAAACTGAAACATATAATAGAATGAAACTATTAAATGATTATGGGTGATAGATAGTCAGGACGTGGGGCTGGGGTAGCTGTGCGGGCTAAGGCGCTTGCAATAGGTAACCAAGTTAAGCAACACTGAGCTTGGTTAGCACTTGGATGGGTGACCGTTCATCAAGAAAAGCCACACTGCCCGAGATTCCCTTCCCCTCCCCCGGATATGTGAGGCCTCTTAGCCTACTGGAGGCATCACACCGACCGGGTGTAGGACTGATGACCCTTACCCCCCCGTGTATTTAAATCAGGAATCGGGATGTGGTCTAGGAGACCGCAAGCCGAAAAGAAAAAAAAATAAAGATGGTCAGTTTGTGATCAGTTTTTCTAATGGGATTTTTTATTCCAAATTAACACTTGATAGTTATTATCTTTTTTTTTATTTCAGCCACTATTTTATTATTGCAGATGACCGATAATGGCAGTGAATAGCCATATTCAAAAACATGTTGCAATAAGTAGTAACCAAAAACTTATTTTAACTCTACGTTATAAGATACCATTTCTTATATTGTGTTATCTTAAATTATAATTAAATCTAGTCATTTTGCTGCTGCTTCAAAATTTTGAAGTTATTTAAGAGAGCCCTATTATGTCAACACCATCTGTGAATGTTATTAAAGATTGCGAATATTGTCATTGTGAATGTTGTTAAAGAGAGCATTAATTAAAAAAAAAAATCTGGTTAATCAGAACACTAGGGTCTCTCACCACTTTTTATTTTATCATATCTGTATATAGTAAACAAGTTGTCTACCAGTCGGAACTTCAGGTAAACTCGGAAGTATGTCTATATATATATATATATATATATATATATACTTTTTTTTTTCGGTTGGCTCTACAGACCTTGTAGATCTTTGGCCGCCTGAACCAGCCTTCTCCACCTCTGCCTATCTAGGGCTACTGCTTTCCAGTTTGCGGCATGAAGCTCAGCCGTATCTTTTTTTATCTTATCTATCCATCTGGTTTTTGGCCTTCCACGTGGTCTCTTGCCTACTACTCTGGCATTCATTGTTGTGTAAAGGCGTCCTGATGGAATGCTACGAGTAGGGATGGGTTGATACTAGAATTTTTGTATCTAGATACAACTGATACGGGTACTTTTTTGTATCTAATACAAATAAGTCAGTAGTTTGTCATTACCTTCCTACTACTTTTTATCTGATACTGCTATCCGATATTTTTATCTTATACTAGTATCAGATATTTTTATCTGATACCCGCATCAGATACTTTTATCTGATATTTTTATCTGATACCTGGACTAGATACCCAGCGGTATGCATACTGGCGCTTGGACTTAATAGTTAATATATAATAGTTCTAATGAATGTATAGTTATGTCAGGTACTATGAAAATATTTACACAATTTTTTAAACAAAATATGCTTCATATTTGACAAAATAATAGAATATATTTCTATATGGAGGGCTATTCTTTTCGATTATCTGATATTTTTATCTGATACTCGCATCGGATACTTTTATCCGATATTTTTATCTAATACCTGGATTAGATACTCGAGCGGTATGCATACTTGGGCCCTTGGCCCTTGGGCTTGATATCTTAATAATTGTATCAGATATTTCTATCCAACTCTAATTGATTACTGATCGGGTTTGATTTTTTTAATACCTATTTGATACCTAATAAAACATATATTAAATATGTACCTATATATATTTTATTCCTTTATTATTAAATTTGTCCCTGTAATAAATACTTTACACCATTTTTAAATATAATAGTTCTAATGACTTTATAGTTATGCCAGGTACTATGAAGATATTTACACAGTTTTTTAAACAAAATATGCTTCATATTTGACAAAAGAATGGAATATATTAAATAAAAATATAACAAATTCATGCAGAGAAAATATTTTCCTAATACAACGTTCTTAATAATTTTGAAACAATTAAAAAATAATAGACCAAAAATTCTTTATAGCTAAGTTTAACATACTCACACACACTTATAGATATATATATTTTTATTTTTTCTGTTTATATTACAGACCATGTAGATCTTTTGCCACCTTAATAAGTATGCTCAATCTCTGCCTTTCTTGGGCTATTTCTTTCCGTTATCTGATATTTGTATCAGATATTTTTATCTGATACCCTAATCGGATACTTTTATATCTAGTCCAGGTATCAGATAAAAATACCACATAAAAGTATCCGATGCCGGTATCAGATAAAAATATCCGATACAAATATCAGATAGTTCTAAAGAAATTGTGCACAACTAAAATTATAACTAAACATTTCTCTTATATCAATGTGGCATGTCTGGACAACGATTTTGTATCCATGTGAGCATCTGTATCAGATACTTTTGGGTTGTATCTACTGGTTGTATCAGATACTTTTTTAGTATCAGATAAAAGTATCTGATACATACAATCCGACCCATCCCTAGCTACGAGCTACATGCCCATCTTAACCTCCTTGCCTTCATGTCATGAGATATTGACTGGTCCGTTTCTTTCAGCAGTTCTTTATTGTTCCTTCTCCTTCATATGTCAAGGTTCTGGTCCTATATAGGTCCTGTTATCCTACATAGAACTTTTCTTTCGAATCTCTCAATTCTGGCTTTTAATGTGCTGGTTAGAGCCCAGGTTTCACAACCATACAGCAGAACTGGTTTAATCACGGCAGTGTACACCCTTATTTTCCTCCACTACCTTTTCGCATGCTTCTGTGAACCATTTCTTGGCTTTTCTTTTTTCCTGAATCCCTATTACTTTCTTAGCTGTTTGTTTTAGCCCTGACTCTAGTGCCTCCCAGTGTTTGTCAACCGTGAGGCCTTCCTATTTCAAGGATTCGAATTTATTTTTCACCTCAATTTGTGGATTCGCTTCAGCCTCTGATAGAGTTTGATTCTAATCAGAGTATGGTCCGAATCACAGTCTGCTCCACGATAACTCCTTATGTCTTGTGTGGAGCTTTGATGCCTCTTGTCTATCAGCGCATGGTCGATTTGGCTTTTTGCTCCTTTAGGACTTACCCAGGTATACTTGTGTATGTCATTGTGCAGGAATGTCGTACTGCTTACTACTAGACCTTTAGCTGCTGCCAGACTAATACATCTCACTCCATTGTCATTGCTAGTTTTATGGAGACTTTGTCCTCCGATGATGAGCTTAAATTGGGTTTCTCGACCTATCTTGGCATTTATTATATTATGGCAAGTCTCCCATGACTAATTTTATGTCATATTTTGGAGCCTGGTCCACAACTTTTTCTAACTGATCGTAGAAATCGTCCTTCACCTCATCCTCTTTTTCTTCGGTTGGTGCATACACGTTAATAATCGTGATATTAAACCAACGACTTCTTATGCACAGCACACTTATCCTTTCATTAACTGGGGTGAAGTTTATTACTGACTTCCTTGTGGCCGGATTAACTATAAATCCAGTGCCAGCTGTCCCATTTTTGTCGTATATATAATATAGCAATCAAAGGCATTAAAATATCAATAAAGCAATTTTTAATGATATTTATTTATTTATTTTACATTGTATTTACAACTGAGTTTGAACACAACTAGCAAATGTGCTGTCGTTCGTTTTGTCTGTTAATAGATCGTAGTATGGTAGTGTAGATTAGTCGCTTGTTTTGTAAGTTGAGAGGAGAACTATAGTCCAAAAAATGTGACAGTTGTTTGTATCATCTGGTCAGTTTTTTTTTTTTTTAATTTTGTGTGATGTCACAGGTTTTTTATCCAAATATAGTTGAAGATATTGTACATGAGTTTTTAAGGGAACTGGCTTGTTGTCTGTTGTCTATCACAGCAGGACACGAAATCTTCCTCACGGAGAAGATAACATGGTTTGACTTGCTGCCATTAATTTTGATTTTCCATTTGTTGAACCATTTTTCTAGGTGGCGGAGGTGATTTTGAAGGGCAACTAAAGATTTCTTCTTCAGATTAAAAAATCTTACCATTGGGTAGGATTTTTTTGGGATGAAATAATTGCAGTGTCATCAGTGAAGCTATAGAGGGTGGCGCTAGGGTGCTAAGGAATATTAGATGTGTAGAGAGAAAAGAGAAGAGGACTTAAAAGACTACCTTGTGGTATGCCCGCAAGTTGAGGGAAAAAGGAAGAAATAGAGGAACCTATAGAAATACAGAAGAACCTGTTAAAGAAGAAAGATTGAAGTATTAGAAAGTAAATAGAAGGAATGTGCGGTTTTATTTTCCACAATAGGGCTTTGCGTCAGATGCTGACAAACGCTTTCTCAATGTCTAGAAATATTCTTCTTTCTCAAAGGCTACTGAGATAGCGTCCACTATACGATGGCACTGTTGTACGGTGGAATGGTACGAAGGAAAGCCAAACTGCTGGTTCGGTATAACTTCCTGGCTTTCAAGGATTGGCTTTATTTGTAAGAGAAATAGTTTCTCGAATATTTATCCCATTATAGGTAGGAGTGCAATAGGATGATAATAAGATGAAGGATTACTGTTGGGTTTAGAAGGCTCTGGAATCATTTTTATTAGAGAAAGTTTTCAAAGGAGAGGAAAATGAGTTGTGCGTAAGATAGCATTATAGATGTGAGTAAGAAAGAGAACGGCTTTTTGGGGTAGGTGGCGAAGGATGAAGGGAGTGATCAGATCATAGCCAAAAGCTTTTTTGTTTGGAAGTCTGTTGATTTCCTTATGAATTTCTTTTGGCTGAAATGCCATAGGAGGTAGTGATAAGGGTAGTGGTGTTGTCAAGTCGTCTTCAATCCCAATAGTGAGTGTTTTATCCTTGATGTTATTTGTTCCAGATACCTGAATAACATGTTTTGCGAATTCGTTTGCTTTTTCTTTGCCTGTTATAGCCCGGGTATTGTCTACACAATGAAGAGGATATTGGAAGTTGGTAAAAATGGTTTAGTAAATTAATAATGAACTGTTAAAAGGCAAGCTAATCTAGTGAGGATGTTTAAATTTCAAAAATAGTTTCACTAGTTCAGGGCAAAGAAATAGGCTGCTCTGTAGTTTTCCCAGAAATGAAAATCCCATATAGGAGAGGGAACACACAGGATTTTGTTTTGGCAAGCAGTTGGTGTTTGACTGAGGTGAAGAGAGGATGGTAGAAGGGATCTTTACTCCAGTGGATAAAACCCAGTAATCGTATTACCATCTTAGAAGTTTTTGTTTGGCAGAGAGACTAGTTGTTTGGAATTACAAGAGAGAGGATCTCCCAGAGAGCTTGAGTTGAGTAGATGAAAGTGCCACCAATTTGGAAGGTGTGTTTGGCAGAACTTTGGAAAGTATTTGAAGACAAATGAATTCAGTGCCACAAAGTAAGAAACAGTGTATATAGGAAAAAAGGTTAGCTTACTAATCCATACTTAGCTTTATAAAATCTACAATGTTTAGTGTAGTTAATATTTTTATTAAGTTTATCTGAGTGTTTTGATCTGATTGTCTGTAACCCACACCTGAGATAAAACAATTATAAATTTCAATTAAATAAATTAATACTCTTATAATTTTGTTTATTATTTAATAACCTCTTATTTATTTAGGAATTATCCCAAAAGTATAAAGTGAGCTTCCATGATGTTTATTACTTGTTTAAAAATATAATAGAGATGTTACAATATTGAACATATTTGGTCTTTATTATACATCTTGTTGCTGTCCATATTGATCCGCTCATGTTATTCATTGAGTTTGGGTAGACCCTGTATCGGTTATTTTTGAGTGTTGACAATTCTTGTTATAGTTTTTGGGTTAGTCTGTTAAGAGCTGTTTTGTGTGATGGGTATCTGGTTCTTTTTCTCATAGAGCTCTAGTTACATGTTTTTCTTTTATGAGGTTACGTATAGCCTGAGGCAGGTAAGTATCAGTTTTGACTAATGACCTCGTTGGCATAGTCGAATTCCAGACTGCATTTTGAATATATTCTGTAAAGTCTTTGACTGTATTGTCTAGTTCGTCAGCTATAGTAATGGAAGTATTTAAAGGGTAAAGGCACCAGTAGTATACATCAAACCAGTATCAGACACATGAAACTTTAACTTAAAAAAATAAGAATTGGAATTTGAACCATTAGAATGATTTGAATTTGGTGTTATTTTAAACTTTAGCTTATACTGTGTAGCCACTAGAATTGGTTGCAAACCAAGTGAGCAATGTTAAGGTTAGAGCAGCTGATATCTTTGCAGTGTCATTCAAGATCCTGCTGTTACCAAATCGGCTAAGGAAGGGAGTATTCTTTTATTGTTCCAAGATTTTTCACAATATTTTTCTCTAAATAGTATTGTACACAAGAAACTCACTAGGTATCGTATTTTTGTGTTAGTTTTGTTTTATTGAACACAAAAATAAACTGTCTACTACTAGAAAACTCAACTTTTTGTAGTAATGATTGAATATCATTCATAGTTTTATTCTAAGCATGGGAGTGTTCAAATTTTCCCCAGAAAATGTCTTATTCCAGTAGTAAACAGTGGTGTCTACTTGTGGTTCACAAACATGTCTACTACTAGAACAAGGAATTCCACCGTCAGTCTAAGGCATTTCTCTCTGACACAGCTCCTGAAAACTAGATAACGAACTAATGAAAAATATGATGAATTTGGCATCAAAATTGTGAAATATTTTCATTAAATGTAATGAAAATAGATTTTAAAATAATATTGTTTTAATTCACTTACAAATATTCTTTTCTTTGTTTAAACTATAGTTTTAACCTTTCGGTCATCGTCAGTAATTATTAATAAAAGTAAATTATTTTTCAACACTTGTAACTGCCCACTTGGGTGTTAATTAAATTTTCTTTTAATCACAAAAAAAAATTGTTGAAAAATAACAAACTTATGAAAAAAAAAGTTTGATCAACACATTTGAAGACGCTGATGACATCATCCGGAATATTGAGGCAGTTCTAGAAAAAAACAGTTGAAACCACAGCAGAATATATTGCTGCAGTTGAAGATTTTGCTACACTTGAAGATTTTTGTTTAAGTGAAAATGACTTCGCAATCATTTCAAACTCTAGAAAAAAAAAGAGTTCATTTCATTCAAGTTTTGGGGGTTGATGAATATGACCTACATGTGTTATGGTTTTGAGAGTTTGTAACAGATTGAAGACATTTTTTGAATTTCAGGAAACTACAAAGTTGATAGTAGGAAATTATGACGTTGTACCAAACTTTCAAAGCCCAGCCCTCTAATATTTGGGGAAAAGAAAAAAAGAATTAAATTTTCATTCAGCTTGGATCTTGACTGATCTCACAACTATGTTTTTAAGAACTGAATTTATTCATGATCCTATGTTTTACTTTCATTACACAATTTAATTGAATAAGTTTCATTGAGTAAAATTACCTACCTTTCTTTTAAAACATATAATTGTCATAATAGGTACTTTTTTATTTTTGGATTATTCCTGTTCAAAATTTATTTAATGAATAATTTAGATAGTCTAGTAAGTGTTTTTAAGCATAAGCGAGAACCAAACAAAGAACATTAAATGTGCATCTTAGAAAAAAAAAAAATTTAAGTTCTGTATTCCTTTTTACCTACAGATGTAATTTCATTAAAAAAAATTAATATTTTGTTTTTTGCATTTTTGAAGTTTGAATTTTTTAAAAATCATAGTTCCTTGGTAAAAACTGCCAATATAGGTGCATATTTGATTAGAAGACAATTAAATATATTAATTAAGTGGTGTGAACTACTGGTGTGTTTTCTTTGTCTACTACTGGTACACTGACGTCTACTATTGGTGAAAAAACATGTTCTTGAAAATTATCTAAAAAATGACGTAAATATCAATGTTTAAGTTATTTTAGAAGGAATTTAGGTCACATAAGAGTGTCGTTGGACAAATATAGCAAAAATCTAGTTCACCATGTATAAGGCAACCATAATCAAGGTGTGGAAAAATGAGAGATCAAACTAGAAGCCAATGGGGTTTTAAGAGGTATAGAATCACGGATCTGTTTTAGGATAGCAATGGATTTTCAAATAATTTAGGAAATATGGATGTTCCAGGAGAAGAGATGTGATTATATTATACTATATTTTTTATTTTATTACATTTTTCAGTGAATTCACCAATATAATGAAATCAGTTAACTGGCCGATAGTGGGTACCAATCTGGCTTCATCACCTTCAACTGATGCATTAACTCGCTTCCAAAATTGTGTGGGCCATCTATTGAAAATTCAGTTACCGTATCCTTCATCACTCATTTTAGCAATTTAAATTTAGGTAGGTTAGATACTTGATATATTAATATCAAGTTCATAAATTCTAGAAAGAATTTGACTAGGATGAAATGAAAAATAATGATTGTTGTTAAAGTTTCTATCTTTATTGTTGTTTTATTAAATATAGTTTTTATTGTTATATTATTCTGCAAAAATTACATGAATGTCTAATGACATGACATTGTTATAGTTGTATTTACATTTAAAGACTATTCCATTAAGTAAAGTAATGTATAGTTTAGAAGAATGTTGAGGTTTTTATATTAATATCAAGTTCATAAATTCTAGAAAGAATTTGACTAGGATGAAATGAAAAATAATGATTGTTGTTAAAGTTTCTATCTTTATTGTTGTTTTATTAAATATAGTTTTTATTGTTATATTATTCTGCAAAAATTACATGAATGTCTAATGACATGACATTGTTATAGTTGTATTTACATTTAAAGACTATTCCATTAAGTAAAGTAATGTATAGTTTAGAAGAATGTTGAGGTTTTTAACTAGTGAAGAGAGCTTTACCTTTTCAGTGACTATTCTGTGCTGTCCAATGGTCAACGGTACTATTGTCATTATATAACTGATGGGATGCATCAAGCACTTTAGAAGAGTGAAAGAATGATCAATTTTATAGGCTGTCTGTAGTGTTGTAAAAGAGCTCAGTCTTAAGGCTATAAGGCTAGAGCCAAAAGGCTCGAGCTATCTCGACTCGGCCAAGACTCAAGTCCTAAGAACTCAGCAGTAAAAGGCTCGAGCCACAGTTCAAAGCTTACTTGTTTTGATTTTTATGTCTATTCACAGTAGATCTATGGGGGGAGGGGCTTTAGGGCTGAAGCTTCCCCAAAGTGATAAAATATATCCATGTTTTATGAAAACAATTATCTCTAAAAGTATTATTGTTCGTTTAATTACATTTAATAGGACTTAAATGGTGGTGTTCCCTGTCATTCCTTATACTCCAATATTCCCTTATCGTCCATATAAGGCTGGTGGTCAGAGTCCACCCCTTAAATTCCCCATTTACTATAGGAGACATTTAGGGAAGATAGAGAGTCCATCATTCCCAAAACTTCCCTTTACTCCCCCTACTCACTACAACTTATATTTAACTGATAGAGAATGTAATTATCTTGTTATTGTTATTCTAAAATTATTATTTTTGATAAAAACTTCTAACTAAATAAAATCTAGAGAAATGAAACTATTTTCTGAGTATTTAATTGGTAGATTAAAAGCTATAAAAGAAAAATTTTATTGAGAACATTATTTTCTCCATTCCGCTTCATAGAATTAGTTTTATATTAGTCAAATAATGATATATAACTGCTTCTTCTTTTCTTAATCATTGGCTCGAAAACGTTTTAAAATATCGCTTAAGTTAAGTAGGTAACCGGACTGTTCAAATACATAATAAACTTATGTTTTCTTTTTTTTAATATTCTTATTATAAAGATGAGTGATATAAAAAGAAAAAGAATTTGTGGAGAGGAGGAAACAAATTAACAGAGGAATAAGGTGTAAACAAATCAAGAAGGTAAGATGGCTTTTTGGTTGTAACGGTTCAGAAAAGGAATACATCTAGAAAATATTGGCCCCGGAAATCTGGATAGAACTAACTTTAACTCAGCATAACAACTGGAGATGTGGGAGCACCTGGAGACTCCAAATATGAATAGAATGAATCAATTCATTAATCTTTTCAATCTGATCTCAAGCCCTCCAGACAGTCCACCGTATACAAGGGAGCCATAATCGAAGTGAGGAAACTAGGAGTTGGCGGGTTTTCAGGGGCATAAAATCACGGAATCTCAGGAACTGTTTTAGGGTAGCTATAAATTTTCGGATAATTTGAGAGACATGATTATTCCAGGACAGGTATTGATCGAAAATCACATCGAGATTTCTGACAGAAGTATGAAAACGAATAGGTAATCCGTTGAGGTAGAGTAGGAGATAGTATGGAATGGAATTAATAAGATGCTTGGAACCAATGAAAATGGCTTAATCTCCTCAATGTTCAACATTAAATCATTACTCGCTGCCCAAGTAGTTATACTGTTTATGTCTTCTTGTAGTCTTCGGATTGCCTCAAGCATCTCAGTAGGATAGAAGGAAAGGTAGATTTGGAGATAGTCAGCATATAAGTGGTATTGTGAATGATAGATGGAATCAGGAAGGTCGTTGATGTATATGGAGAAAAGAGTTGGAGAGAGCAAAGATCCCTGAGGAACACCATGAATTAGTGAGAGGGGGGAGGACAGAGTTTTATTGGGAATAATGACTGTTTAAGATCTGTGATACAAAAAGGAATGGAACCACTTTAGGACGCTATTTGATATGGAAAGGTTTTGGGGTTTGGAAAGAAGGATTTCATGATTGACGGAATAAAACGCTTTTGAAAAGTCAAAGAGGATCAGGATGGAGATTTTTTGTTTGTCTATGGAGAGATGAAGTTTTGGGTGATTTTCAACACAGCAGATTGGGTGGAGAACTGGGATCAAAATTCAGACTGGAGGAGATTGAGGTGAGCTTTTTGCTCAAGGAAGATATTAAGCTGTGGATGGACTAGTATTTCAAGAGGTTTTGAAAGGTTGGAGAGAATGGAGATGGGTCTGGAATCGGAACTTAGCTCAATCAGAGAACTATAACATTTTTCCAAGCTAATGGGAAACAGGAATTTTGTAAAGAAAAATTGTAGATATGCAGTAGAACAGGAAAGATGACAGAGAGGCATAGTTTGACTAATTTCACTGGGATTAGATCCGGAGCATTCATTCTGGATTTGAGGACAGAGGAAAACAGGTCTTCTGGTGAGATATTTGTGAAATAAAAATTTGTAGGGTCAAAGGAAATTTTAGGAAAGCAGCATGAGGAGGAGAAAGATATTGAGATAGGATCGGCAAAATAAAAATTTAATTGATCAGGAGAAACAGGGTAGGAGGTACAGTTTTTTTATTTTACTACAGAGAGATTTTTAAGGATCTTCCATCTGGACTTAGTATCTGGTGCTTTTAATAATGAGATATGGAAGAATTGTACCTTAGCATGTTGCAAGGAAGATTGGGTTAAGTTTCAAAGGGATTTGAGGGAAATGTAATCATCCAGATTACGTGTGCATTTAAAAAGCCTTCTAGCTGCGTTCATCAGCCTACTGATTTCAGGATTAATCCAAGGAGCAGCAGGACCTCTGAAGGTAGAGGTCTTTAGTGGTGCATGTTGATTCAGGAATAGGAGAAGGATTGGGCTAATTTTTCAAGAAAAAGATTTAGTTTTTCAGGGGTCAATGAGCCAAGGTCTCGCCAAGCTATTTGCTTAGGAGTTAATTTAAAAGTCGGGGTGTTATAGGAAATCTTGATAAGATCATGATGTGAAAGAAAGGAAACAGGATTCTGGGGAGGGGGATAATAAGTTTTGAGAGGAATCAATTCGAAAAAGGTTGAGCCATATGTCAAGAACTAGGTATGGTGTGTGGGTTGAAAGGAAACGATAAAAAGGTCAAGGGAGTGGATTAGGTCTACAAGGTATGATTTTTCAGGAGAGTCATAAATTGGTGTTAAAGTCACCAGTTATTATAACATTATTGCATAAGGGAACATAGGTAAAAAGGAAGGACTCTAAGGCAGGATCAAATCAGACTTGAGGAGGGTGGTATGTAATGATATAGAGGAGGGAAAAAGCAAAACTTCGAGTATTCAATTCAGAAAAAAACATAACATAATGTTCCTTGTGGGGAAAATTGAATATTGAGAGAAATATATTAAAAAAAGAAATAAAGGAAATTTGGTAACTATGAACGGAATATGTAGCAGAGAGGTAACAATTGTGTTTGCATCATTGAAATACATCCAAGTCTTCAGCTTTGTTAATGACAATGACCTGTAAGCCGTCATCTTTTCGTCACTTAATACGCCCTTTTGATAACCAGACATATCTGATTTTTCCTGCCCCCTTTCTCTGTCTCGCCAGCCAGTAAAGATGATAGTTGAATAAGTTAATTTCTTCGTAATCCCAACCGAGGTGCCTAGTGGTGAAATCCCTTTTTATCCTTCTGAGTCAAATCACCTCATCCCGGATCGTCTGGCGGACAAATGCACGACAATCAACAGTGGCTGGGTGTCCTCTCCTCCAGGTCGCTTTTTTTCTACCAAATCTAGGTTCTCAGTGTTAAGCTTCACACTTAGGGTCACCCCAACGGACACAACTATCCCCTCGGGCGTTTCCCCGTTCTTCGTAGGGATCCCTCTGAACTCAGGCGAGTGAGAAAACTGGGCCTGTTCTATACAGTTTAACATGATCTCCATATTTTTAATTTCCTTTTTTAGGTTATTATTTTCAATTAATAGCTTTTCAATAAGCTCCTCCTATCTTTTGGGTCGTTCTTCCATCGCCTTTAGCCGTTCTTAGTTTTCAAATGTCATAGTTGCTTGTTTGTTGACGGTGCTTTTGATGTCTTTTTTGTCATTAGTAATTTTACCTAGCTCGGTTATAACTACTGAGAAGTTCTCTTCCATGCTACACTTGGAAAACTCGTATTCTGCTTCGTAGTTGCGACTACAATAGCTGTCATGCATGTTAATAGTATTGAAGGTAAGGAATAATATGAAGTGAATTATCAATGTCAATAAATAAAAAAAAAAAAGGTTCACGGGAAGGTAGATCTGTGTTGCCAACAGGCAAGAATGGAAAAAAATTAAAAAATAATTAATACCCGATTGATGCAATTTCAAAAAATAAAATACTTTTTATAATCTAATAGTAGAAATTTATCGTTGGGTTGATTTCTCAAATCAGCTACTCTCATGTTCCTTACCACTTTAAGAGTCCAGGAAAAGTAGTACCCTCCTTCAAAAGATATACTATTTCTGTTTAAATTTTTATGAAAAATGATTCATTTTTCAAAGAAAACATGAATTATTCTTTGTAAATTTCTTCACGAAAACGTTCCTGCTCATGCTATAAATGAGACGAGCCATTTGAGATATGACTTGGAAGAAAAACTAATTTCCTTAAATTATGGTATTTGAATAATTAGTAGGAAAGGAACATTACATGTTTTTATGAAATTTCTTTTTTTGTATACATTGCAATTGCATTTTTAATGATATACTTGAGAATAAGAACACCTGGATATGTTCAATTGCCGAATTAAATAAAGAATATAAAAGAGTGAATATATTCATTTTCATAAAATCATCAAAACTTCAATGGTAACATTACTAGAATGGATCCCAAGGAAGTACCTTCCAGGATCCTGTTGGAACAACTTTGCTACCAGGCGGGTTGGACCTCCGAGGCTCTGCTAGGAAAACTGCTTGGCTGCTGAGGAAAGATCTCTGCTTGGGGTAAGAAGATGGAGAGCAGCAGTATAGAGTAGAGAATATTGGTGATCTATGATATAGCAGAGTAAATCATGAAATGGGTCACAACACCGAGCAGTAGTAGTAGTAATAAATTGACCAAAAGCACCTTGAGTTATACTGTTCTCAGCCTTGAGATGCTTTTGCTTTTTCTTGATATATCGCAGGATACAATATTATTCCAGGAAGATATTGATTGTTTTACCATTATGATAATTGGAGCTTCATTGCCAAGTATATAAAGAAGCCTTTACATTACTTAAGTCAATATTGTTTCTTTTTTCTGTTTCTAATTATTTAATAAAATTTGTGTTTATCCTTAAACATTAAAATAGTGCAGAGCTGAAAGACAAGCCTGTAGTGAGTTCCAGTTTGCAAGTTTCTTTTCCAAGTCTGACATTGCCAATAATACAACTTCTAATACCTTTGAGAAAAAGGTTCTTGTACCATTTTACTGGCTCTCGACAGACAAATAGGATTGATAAACCAGAGTGGTATTTTACTCAGGTATATGTAGATTTTTTTCATTAATATTGTTTTATGTGATTCTGTCTCTGAAAAATCTTTTTTTTAGAATAGTATTAGTTAATAATCAAATTTTAAAAAAAGGAGGTTATTTGATTTAAATAATTAGCCAGGATACGCTTTGTTTCTTTACAATCCTGTCAATGACCATTGCTTTTGTTCTTCATTAAAGCTAAATTGAAAAAAATAAAATAAACATTCTTTATTTATGAAATATAGGTATAATGTTAACTCCATGTTTGTACATTAAAATTAGAGTCTGCTCTCATTGCCAAATTTAATTTTTTGTCTTGGGCTTACATTAAAAAAACAATTTGATTCTGTGTTTATTGGATTAGTTTTACAACTGATTCATTTTGTTTATAATGTTGATAATCACCTGAACTCAATCCTAGATTCAAATCACATAATTTCTGACCAACATTTTGGATTTCTAACATCTGATTCCATTATAAAGTGGCTTTGTCATATATATAGTTGTGCTCCACACTGGACCACAGAATTTACTGCAGAGGAATCCTTTTAAGATAGCTATATACACTGGTGGCCATTAAAAACCGGCGCACCTTAAATTTTGTTATTATTTCTGTCCCAACAGAAAAAAAATTTCAATGTGGTATGACATATTCTGCTTGTAGAAGACCACGAGAAAAGGGGGATTTCAATTTTTAAAAAATCGTCATGTAAAATAAAGCAAATGAACACTCTTTTAAACAAAAATGAAACGCATCTAATTATTTTTTAATTATGAAATCTAAGTCTGTAGTACCTAGTGCCTCCCTTTTGTCCGTCCGTCCGAAGATACTTCATAGAATTGAAGTCCATAGAATTGGGCTGCATGCTGGCCACTATAAGTTGCGGACACTAACCTCGGCTAGGTCATCACATGATTTTTGATAAGTGGCAGAGCATTATGCTGCATAAAATGAAAACGTAGGATAATAAACGGGCCAAAATGTACCACATATTCCTTAAGGAAGTCGGTGATGTACATGTGGGCCTTGAGCGTCTGCTTGTTGAGCCCTGAGCCGTCAGAACACATGGAGGTCTGTTTGACTTCTGACTCAAAACTTATTTTACTCCAAACCATGACTGACCCTCCTCAAATCTACACTCTTCCTGCTATATGGAACTAAGCTAATTGCTGGTTTGTTCTTTTCCACACTAGAACTCATCCGTCTGCACCATAAAAAGCTATACTGGGACTCGTCAAAAAACAGAACAGATGCCAAATCATCTGCCCATGCAGCGTGTTCCCGACAGAAGTGAAGGCGAGCTTCTCAGTGTGTTACAGTGAGTAGAGAGCCGGAAGCGAGAACCCTAGCATGGAGTTCAGCAAGCCATCTCTTTACTGTATGCGCACATCCATCTGCACCTCAAGCCATATGCCATCGTTGAGAACTCTCAATTGAAGTCTAGTAGCAGTTCCTGAGGGTTTGCATACCAATAAACCGGTTATTAGCTGGACCTGTCACTCTCGAATGGCCTGATCACCGCCTCCTAGCGGAGCTTTCTGCCTTCCAGTACCTCTGGACTGCCCACTAAACGTTTTTTCAGGCAGCCTGTGGACTCAGAGTTTGTATCACTGTTTTTGGCCGTTTTTAATTAATACAGTAATCTGAGCAACTGCTGCGAGATCTAAAACCATTTTCAACTCTTAAAAATGTTTAATATTGTTTTTATACTTTCAAAACAGATTAAAAAAAAAAAAAAGCAAAACCAATGCGATTGAACAGACAACTGGAGACAATATACTTTTATTCTTAATCCTAAAGAAAACCATGAGATTTTTTTCAAAAAGATTAATACATTGTAATCCCCTTAGACCTACCATATACCTGTTATTACTTTTAAATAACAGATATTTAACATTTATAAAAATATTTCTTTTATATGCGAGTTTTATTTGAAATTCAAGGTGCACCTATTTTTTGACCACCAGCAATTTATTATTCAGTTATTGTATTGTTTATTTTTGTTACTCATGTAATTTTAATATGACTTAGAGCAAAATAAAAACTTTTTTATATAAAGATAAAAATGTTTTAAATAAATAATTGTATTTTTCTATCTTTTTTAATACATTATTCTTATAGAACAATTTATATTTACTAATTGAGATATACTTCATATGATTTCCATTGATGTTAAATAGCTTTCCTCAACATGGAATTAGATTATATTTTATCTCTATTGTAGTATTTATTGAATCATTGATTTTATTTACAAAACAACATGTAAATGTGATAACATTGATTATTATACATTGAATATGACTTATTGAAAAACTGCTTACTGGATACTTTAAATTTAAGTTTCCAAAACAAATGTTTTTCAGTAATTTATTGATCTTTTCTGGTTTCCTTGTCTAACTTCGTTTTCATTATAGATTATTAAATTTTCTTTCTATAACATTTTATTGATCTTTTCTAGTTTCCTTTTCTGACTTAGCCTCCATTACGGATTATTAAAACTTTTTTCTATTGATATTTTATTATATTTTTAAGTTGTACTTTAGATTTAATTAGTTTATTATTAAATTTTGTGATTTTTTTTAGATTTATCTAAATGTATTTGGAGTATGTTCTAATCATTACTTTATTTTTAGATTTTATCATGGATTAGAGATCATGAAAATTTCCTTCAGACTTGGGTTCAACCAATTTATAATGACTTGAATGTCGACAAAGTTGTTGTGGTAATAAATAGTTACATATAATTCGATGAAAATTATTATTTTTTTCTAGTTCTCTCAATAACTATAAATATTTATCTGTTTATATTTTCCAGGTTGAATTCATGTGTGGATTGGTACAGATGAGTGTTGAGAAACTTCAATGCGATTTAGAGGAAGTTCAGTACGATGATACCCTTTTCTCACACACTGTGGATGAGGCTCTTGGCTATGAAAGAGAACTGAGACAAGTCCATTCTTATCCATTATCCCTTCCTGGACCACTTCATGTATTGACACAGGCTCAGCTTTTTGTTAAGTGGATCAGGATGGAAAAAAAGTGTTGGTTCTGTTATTTATTTTAATTTAGCTCTTCTTTATTTTCTTATGTATATAATATTTGTGTATTTAATAACTAATTTTCTGTAATATGTCAACTTTTATTATTACTGTTATTAAGTAATGATTATTAAATATGATTTATCTTTTTATCTCATAGTATCTAACTTAGAGGATCGAGGATCCAAGCTACTGCAATGCAAGCTACTAAACCAAAGAAAAAATCAAGCGTATAGAACAATGGTTTAGAAGAAGTATACTAGGAGATATGTGTAGGAGCAATACTCCTAGCATATCTGCTCAATATCCATAAGAATAAGGGAAACTCACAGCCACAAATGTAAAAAATGACAATGGGAATGTAAAATCAAGAATGCCTACTGTTATAATAGCAGAAAAGTTTTTGAGATGATCAGTGGTGGGCGCTGGACATATAAACCTCAAAACTATGCCTGCAAGAATAAAGATGGCTCTTTAATAACAGAGGAAGTTGCAGTTATGGATCATTGGGTGGACTACTTTGAGGAAATAATTGGTGGAGGCTAATTAGGCCTGTTCTTACATAAGGCTTAGAATGTTGGACAATGACTTGAGCACAAGAACAAGCCCTTCTGGGATTCGAAAGGAAAGTGCTTTGCAGAATATACGGAAATCTGTGTGAGAAGGCTCCTGGAGAAGACCAACAAATGCCGAAGTTAGGGAGATGTATAATATATAAGACCTCAATATCACTAGCTTAATCAAATTTGTACAACTCCGCTGGGCAGGTCATGTAATTAAAATGAACCAGAAAGAGATCCCATTACAAATTTTATGGAGCGAGTGTATGGGACAAAGGGAAAAGGACGTCCCATGCTTCCTTGGAAGGTTTCTTGGCTACGAACTCCAGAAAAGGTTGGTTTAAGGAATTGAAAGACAGTGGCACGCATAGAGAGGACTGGCAATCCTTATTGGAGTAGGTTTTGATTGATTAAGTGGGTCGTGATGCCAAATAAGAAGAAGTAGAGAATCCTTTAAAAAATCAGTCTATACCTATCTAAGTCATGTTTTTTGTATACGCTGAAAATAAATTAAAGTAAAATTTTATGTTTTTGTTTTTTTCAGGAGTAAAGAAAATAAATTAAATAATTGAATATATCTTTATGTACAATTTTATTTTTTAAATTGTACAAATTACTTGTGTAGTTACAAATGGTTAATACAGATACTCTTGTAGTATCTGGTGTATGAATTTTAAGGATTTAAATTGTTTCTATTCACCTTCCACGCTTTCAGAAGTTTCTTATAATCAAACTGAACAAATAAATTAAAATTTTAAGTTATCGTTTCCATACTCATCATATTTTTATTTTTTCGTTATAAATTCGTGGAAAGCATGGAAAAAATATATAATTGAATAAAAATCTCAAAAAAATATTTATTTTAGGAAAGAGAAAAAATCCAAGATTCATATCATATATTTTTCAGAAATATTTATTACTTTCATAGAAAAAAAGTTTTCAATCTTTGCCAAATTTCAATTGCCCTTTGAGAAGATATAAATTATTATGATACTTAATAAACAGTAGAAAGTAGACATCTTTTTTTTATAATTAACCTAATTAGTCATAGAAACATGATTCGATTTATAGTGAAAGTAAAGTTTCATTTAAATAAATATATCATGGGTGATAAATATTCAGAATGCTGTCATTATAAAGTTTTCATTAGTGCCGACGTTTCAGCCCAAACATGTGGGTCATCATCAAGGGCTGAAAATATATATATATATATACATTGTGGTTTCCCGGATCATTTTTTTCCTAATGAATGAATATATTTAACTTTGTAATGACTGCATCCTGAATATTTATCACCTGTGATATGTAGATAGTCAACTAACTTCCTTCAATAATTCATTAAATAAATATATATTTATTTTATCATAATTTAAAAATATTAATTTTTTTCCACTTTAGTTGCTAGAGAGAAAATGGATGCAATGCTTATATCTGACAGTGCATGGTACACTTTAAGTGGACTGGACGATGAAAAAACAACAGAAGTTGCTCACACGTTTCTTGCTCTAATTAGCACCATGACAGATAGATATTCTTTGTTACCACAACCAGGCCATAGGTAAGGAATATCTTTAGTTAACAACTTTTAAAGGGGAATAAAATTATTTTTAATTAAACATTATATTTCATTTTAAAATGAAAGATCTTTCATATTTCTTCCATAACCAAACTTCATTCAAAACAGAAATTCTGCCTTATTGACAGAAGTGTCTGTTTATGAGAATTTCAAAGAATAAATGATTTAAAAATATATGTATTTAGGGAAAAAAGTTTGTATTAAAGAAAAATTGTAATTAATGTACATAAAAAAATATATAGATGGATATTTTTGTTGACTATTTTTTAAAATTATTAGGATTATAAATATTCAGGATTTGCAGTTTAGATTTATTTTATGTAGCATTTTATCATTTGTAATGTCAATCATTTTATTATGATGTACAGTACCCTAGACATGTGACCACATTGGCTGGCCTCTGAATCAGTTAAGGCATTTTGTGAAACTTTTTCTCTAACTGTTGGACCTAATATATAGGTTTAAGGTCAGCAGATCAGTTTGAAAAGAATTTTGTCAATTGCAAGACCTATTGATTCAAAAGTCCTTTTGGTTATATTTTAGTTAGCTTGGTCATCATCTTTACAGTGCACTCATATTTTCTTTGATTATGATGTTCTATATTGAAACAAACTTTTTAAATAAATAAAGTTTCACTCAATTTTGAACAAAATATTGGGTGGAATTAAATTATCATACTAGAAAACAATGCAACACAGATATCATAACATAAATAAACTAATCATTATCTGTTGTTCTTGGAATCAATTAGGATTTTACGCCTGTATCAGTTTATCAAAAGTTATTTTATAAGAAAAAGTATATATCGACAACCACTCTGCCAAATCCTGTCAGGACAAATTCATTGGAAAATGAGGTTTTGAGCTTTTCTGATCAGTCTTGGCCTGGGACATATTCTGATCTCACAAAATAAAATTTGCAATGTTTCATTTCTTCTCTATGATCTTTTGTAAAAATATGTAATGAAAGGTGGTCATGTAAATATAGAATGTATAAAGTGTGAGATAAAAAAGTGTATAACCCCTGTGATCAAATACTCGCTTTCCTGTTGAATGTTTTACAAATTTTTATTTGAAGTATTGTTACTCTACATTTTGGAAACTGACTTTGTTTCTGTCATGATTTGATCATTATTAACCAAGTTATGGGTGTTGATTGCTTTTACCTGACTAATACCTGTTTTTCCAAGTAACTAAACAGCTACAAGCTAGAAGTAATGGCTCTAAAAGATTATTGACAGAAATACAATCAAAGAAGTTATACAGAGCATTACATCTTTATTATAGGCCTTTAAAAAAAATTGAACCGAAAATATAATGGTCATAGGACAAAAAAATACAGTTTTTTTTTCGTCTCCTGAAAATTTTTAATTTTTTTTCTTACATGCTTTTGCAGTGTGGCTGTCAGTATATATACATCTATCTTTAAAAATATATCTTAATATTGGTATTAATTAACACTCAAAGTTTGTTTAAAAATGTAACCGAATCTAATAAAAACCAATAATCATTAATGATAGGGAATCATGCTTTATTTTTTCACTTTTTTTTATGATTGCCCATTATCTTTCGGAACCTTTTGTCCTAAACTATTGTTTCTTTTGATGAAACTTCAATTTTAGGTTCAGATTCAAACGGATTATTATTAAAAACTATTTTTAATTGTGGAGATAAAAGCAGTCAATCAATTCATTGTATCATGATTACTTGATTCAGTCAAAATCAAGCTTAAATGGCTTCTGTAGTTTAATTCATTTTAATGTGCAAAAGTACTCTATAATATTCTCTCCACTTGTCATAGGAATTTAGGAAAAACAAATTATTACTTTTTTTTTATGTTTTATGTATGCTTTAGGTCATTTTTTGAGTAACTCCTTAGCAAATTGCAACTAGATAATTCATGATGTATTTGTTTTGTTTTGTTTCCCTCTATTTATGGGACACCCTGTGTATACAGAGTGTACCCCTAAGTAGAGGTAAATTTTTATAAAAGGGATAGCAGACCTGAAGACGAACAAAACAGTTTATATAAACAATGGCCCAATTCCCAACAGAAAAGTAGGAAATTCAAGATTTGTGATTTTTTAAGTGAGTCACATTTTTTGTTGAATAGAAAGTGATAACTACAATAATAATTAATTTAAGTAATTACAATTTCTCCTGAGTAAACTAGATAAAATTTACTTCTAATGAAAGTGGAGTTTGTCATTGTTGAAACCATTTAAAGAGGGCTATTGAGGGGCTGAACTCCTCAGCTACGTTTCATTAAAAAAAAAAAAAAAACATAAATTATTTGTAATTTTTTTTATCACTCTCGAGCTATGCTACAGATATCCCAATTTTAGAAATATTTCCTTGTTTAATAAGCTTTAAGGCCATATTAATTAAGTTAAGCTTTATTAGGGAAAGTTTGGAGATTCGCCTCAAGTTTTGTAAGAACATTAAGTGATTTGATATCCTTTCTTCTAAAAGTAATATTTTCAACAAAAATGACTACAATTAAATATTTAAAAGCTGTATTTTCTTTCTTTTTTCATAATCTGGAATGTTTGTTAATAAATATTAAAGTATACGTACACTTTTTATTTAATTAAAAATAATGTTTTTTCAAATATTTATCATCTTAAGTGATAATGCAACTGTGTTGTTTAAACAAGATCTCTATTATACAGATTGATCCACATTTTTAAGTGCCCATTTTTAAGTGTATCTAATCCCTAATAATTACGCTTTCTTGAAATTAATTAAAGCGATCATCACATTTTTTTTATCTTAAACATAAATATTAGGATTGGAAACATTTACCTGGTCCTTTATAAATACAGATTAATATCTATAATAGAGATCTTGGTTAAAAAACAGTTTGTTTATCACTTAAGATGATATATATTCGAAAAACCATTATTTTTAACATTTTTTTAAATAAATAAAAAGTGTACTTATGCATTTATATTTATTATAATACATTCCAGATCATAAAAGACAAAGAAATTAAAGCTTTTTAATAATTTACTGTAGTAATTTTTACTTTCCAACTGTTGATTGTGGTAGTTTTTATGAAAATATGAGTTCTTTTAGGCGACAGGATATCAAATCACATAATGTTTTTATAAAACTTCAGGTGAATCTCCAAATTTTCCCTTATAAGCCTCAACTTAATTAATATGGCCTTAAAGTTTATTAAACAAGCAAGTTTTTCTAAAAGTGGAGTATCTGTAGCATAGTTTGAGAATGATAAAAAAAATCACAAATAATTTATGATTCTTTTAATGAAATGTAGCTGAATTCAGCCACTCAATAGCCCTCTTTAAATGGTATGAATAATGACAAACTCTACTTTCATTAGAAGTAAATTTTTCCTAGTTTACTGTGGAGCAGTTGTTAATTACATAAATTAAATATTTTTGTAGTTATCGCTTTCTATTTAACAAAAAAACGTGACTTACTTAAAAAAACACAATACTCAGATTTTCTACTTTTCTGTTGAAAATTGGCCCATTGTTTATACAAACTTTTTTGCAGATCCTGAGGTCTACCATCACTATTATAAAAATTTCTTTCCTCTTACGGGACAGACATCCAGTATATATATCCTTATTATTATCATTATAACTTATAATGTAGTTGGTTTATCATAAAGTCATTAAGTAACATTTAAAAAAATTAAATCACTAAGTAATTTAGTAATCTTTTTCTCTATGAAATGAGAACATACTTACTATAACTATAATAGGACTTGTGTTTAATTGATGCATTTCATGGGGGTTTGCATCAATAATTAAGATTGTAATTCACAAATATGTTCTTAAAAGTTTTGCTCCATTAAAAGTCTTCCTAATGCCTTTTTTTTTCCAATAAATTGACAATGCAGTATACTTATAGTTTGTAATATGATTAAATTGAATTGGCTTTTTACACCATAATCCTGCTGAGTATTGTGGCAGTCAACGTTTTATTATGTTAGCCTATTTATTTATCAGGGCCAGATTCGATATGAAGAAACCCTAAAATTGATATCAATATGGCATCATACTTTGTTTTGTCAACAATTATTTGTTTAAAGTTAACAAAAGCTTTATTTGTTAATCTTCATTTTTTAAAGTTTGCCAGGAAAAATGTCTAAAAACAGTTTTCTTTCCCTCCTCCCTAAGGAACAGTTATTAAAAAATGTTTGTGGAGTGATTTTAAAGAACTTTCATTATAAAATTGTACTCTAAAAATGGTTTACGTTATCACAGATATTACACTTTTCTGTCTTATTAATATTTCTAGTATAAAAAAATTGAAATCATGATTTATCAATGTTATAACTGGCATTTATCCATTTGTTTTAGGCTGCAATTTGTCGAATTGGAGCTTGAATTAATAGATGACTTAAGAGTATCTTTATTGCAAATATTACATTTAGAAAGAGCTGACCCAATCAATTCAAAGGTTCCTGCAATTTTAAATACAGTCCACCACCTTAAAACAGCCTTAGAACAATATGATGTCAGCCCAGTGAGTAGATCATGGTAGTATTTAAAATAGAATCTGCTCTTCCCTTTCTCTAAAAGCGATTCCTCTAAATTCATATTTTATTTTATTCCAGACAGTGTTGTTATTACAACACTACAAAAGTCAGTATAGTACCAATGAAAATGATGGAGGTATATTCCATGAAACGATTACACTTTTAGAGAGGCTTCAGGTCCAGCTTCTTGAAGAGCTCAGCGCAGCAGTATTGATGGAAGTGAAAGCTAGAAGTAGGCCTTATAGAAAATTTAGGTAAGATTATACTTTATCTTTTAAATTCCTCCATTTAATGATATTCACTTTGACCATGTTAGTTAATTAGCTGAATGTTTTTATTGTCATTGTTTTCTTGAAAAACAATAGAATTGTATGACTGATTTACTTTATATATATTGCAATGTTTTTATTAATCGACCTTTATATATTATAACTTGAGATATCAATTATAGTCCGATAATAGGTCATGAATTACACTTCAATAAGCTAAAACAGCTTCTGTTTATTCAAAAGTTTGAATCCCTGTTCTTTAACATAAATAATGGGATCCTCTTCAATTCTGGAAAAAACAATACCCATCATTGGTACAACAACAAAAGTTTCTGTACATTTTAACATCAATCCCAAATTTATCTTACTTTTTTTAAATTGAGCATCGAAGCTGGGTAGCATGCTGACAGCCACAACATTACTGCCACAAGGACATCAGGCTACTGGCCGCAACGCACACCCCAATCCTGGAGCCCGAGAATAATACCAATAGCAATAACAATAGTGTACACAATAATCTCTGTTTGTAATTAAAACATTAAAATTGCCAAAAATAATGAATTAAAACAAACTTAGATGTATTTTATACTAAAGTCAAATGCTAAAAATTAAATCAGATTACAATAAAATAAAGTATACACAGCCAGTCATTACATACAATAATAAACTTTTTATCAAACTAATTTGTTATAAATGTTTTGCCATATTTCTTAATGAAGTGTTGTTCACAGTTTGAAATCATGCTGCTTGGTCATCATGAGTCTGTCTTTTAACTGTAGTTTAAACATTTTTTAACAGTTTGCTTGTTTCAATTTTTATAGAACCCAACAGCGTTTAATTTTATTTATGCAATTAAATTGATTTATGTGAATATCTTCAATCATAAAAATTATTTTCGGCCTGCAAGACACTAATATAGATAGATACATCTAAAAACAAACTAATTTTGCCAACAAATATATTTAAGTTAAGTTAGCCATGTAGTAACTATAATGTTAATGTTTATTTATTTCTAGCTAAAAATTACATCCCTAAACTTAACAGTTAAAACATGTATTATGAAAAAACTATTGTATATTTTGATGATGTACTGATAGATTCGTTGGAAAGCAGAAAGAGCTTTTGTTTCGTTTAGAAAAAACAAAGCGAAAAACAGATCAAACAGTGGCTCGACTAGTGGCGAATGGGTGAACTAAAGAAAAACAACTGTTGTTATCCGTTTGGAAGAACAGTTCATTCGTTTGAGATCAAGAACTGTTCTTTTCAAACGTCCGTTGTTTTCTCTTTACCCCACCTGGAATCTCTATCAAATAGTTTGATATCAGATCCATTGGGTTATTGTTTTACCTTATCTGCTCACCCTCCTTCTCTACTATATCCTAACCTACCTCCTTTCTCCCTTCGTACGTTTAACTTGGTGGTCTCTTGTTGCTTACTTACCCCTTTACATGTTTGTCCTTGGCAGGGACGAGTGTAAAGTTACCTATCCTTGCAAGGTCTGTGGATGGTCTCAGCTTGCTGAGCCCTGGATGTTATACGGGTGGGGTGGTCCCCCTATCATTCTTGGCGGTCTTATTCTATACCTATTATGGTCTTGACCAAATACTGCCTTCCAGCCTTACTTCCCGCACTTCTACACATATATAATTTCTCTCTCCAAAAATTCAGTTTTCCCAAATCCTGGAAAAGAGCCATAGTCTGCCCACTGAACAAAGTATCTACTCCTTCATTAGCTTCCGACTTCGGACCCATCACCATTTTATCCAATCTATCCAAGCCTCTAGAAAGACCAGTTCACTCTCAGTTGAACAGCTTTCTCAAGTAAAACCATCTCCTCGATCCTTTATAATCTAGTTTCCGTTCTCATTATTCCATCCAGTCTGCCTTGCTAAGGAAGACCTCCAATCCGCCATTGATAAACAGAAAATCTCCATCCTAATTCTTTTTGGCTTTTCCAAAGCATTTGATTTCGTCAATCATGAGATCCTTCTTGCCAAACTCCATCATCACCTCTTCAATTAACACGAGGTGCTCCTCAGGGTCCTCAATCTCCTCGACCACTTTCTCTATTTATATTAGTGATCTTCCTGACGCCATTCAACACTCCTGTAACCACCTATATGCCGATGATTTCCAAATTTACCAATCATTCCAAGCTTCTGAGTTGCCTTAATCTGCCTGAAAGCTACAAGAGAATATCGACTGCATCAAAAGATGAGCAGAAAAAAATGAATTAAAGCTGAATGCAGATAAAACTAAGGCTATTCTCATCGGGTCTAGACATCTCATTAGCTCCCTTCCTTACTTTCCTCTACTTAACCTCAATAACAGTCCTATCCATTTTTTTTCTACAGTCAAAAACCTAGGATAACCTTTGACCAGAACCTCTCCTGGAATAATCATATCTCCCAGATTACCTGAAAATCCATAACTGCCCTTAAACAACTCCTAAGATTCCGTGATTGTATTTCTCTAAAAACCAGACAGCTCCTTGTAACCTCCCTTATATTCCCCCACTTCGACTACAGCTGTTTGGTGTATGGAGGACTACCTGTCAGTCTAGAAATGAGACTGAAGAAGCTCATGAACTGTTTCATAAGATTCATCTTCGGGATCTCCAGGCGTTCACATGTTTCATTCTGGTACACCGAGTTGAAGTGGCTTTATCCTACTTTCCGACGACATTTCCTCTTTGGTGTTTTCCTTTTCCAAGTCAACAGAATCAAAAAACCTCCCTACATCCTGGAACTCCTTACTCTACATTCCTCTATCCACTCTCTTAATACCAGATCTCAACCTATAGACTTATATATCCCCTCCCATAAAACTTCTTCCTTCAGCAAATCCTTCGTCATTTGTGCTGCTTCCTTATGAAACTCTCTTCCTACCTCCATACGTCAATCCTCATCCACAAATTCCTTCAAACAATTCCTGTTCCACCACCTACTCCACATTCAACCTTCTGCAAATATGTAAAATTACTTGCATCTGTACGCTGTTTAATTTCAATCTACTGCATAATTGCAATAACAATTAACAGTTAATTAGCTTGTATTTTTTATTATTCTAAGTCAGACTAAAACCCATAAATTTGTAACTCTGTTATTATTCTTAGGGGACATTCTTGGGGAAAAAAATATTTTTTCATTTCATTTCATACCCATACCTAGTCTTCTACTATCTTCCACCCTACCTCCTTTCGTACATTTAACTTGGTGGTCCCGTGTTGCGTACTTACCCCTTTACATGTTTGGCCTTGGTTGTAACAAGTGTAAAGTTACTTATCCTTGCAAGGTCTGTGGATGTTCTCCTCAGCTTGCTGAGCCCTGGATGTTATAGGTGTGTTCCTCCTATCATTCTTGGCGGTCTTACACTACCCCAGTTGTCTGGTTCATGCTATCTAAATCCTTTTCATTCTTTAAATAGGAATGAACAGGTATAGTAAGAAAGATAATTTAGATTCTGAGACAATACAGACAGTGGTAGACAGACTCTCTGTATATTCAACTCAGTGTAATACTGGGTAATATGCGTACCTCTTCAGATTCCGAAAACAAATTGTTATGTGCAATTCATTAGGCGTTTAAGTTTGGCCTCGAAATCTCCTGAGAGTCCACCGTACACCATACAGTCATAGTTGAGGTGGAGAAAAACAAGAGAGGAAACTAGCAGTTGACGGGACTTATATGGAAGGAGATAACATAGACGATTGAACTGTTTTAGAGTGGAGATAGTGTGACGTGTAATTTGTGAGATGTGTGGTTTCGAGGAGGGGGTTCGATCAAAAGTAAAGTCTAGGTTTTTAATAGTAGTGTGGAGTAAGATAGGTGAGTTGTTCAGGAGAAGTTGGGAGATACCGGAAAGAATTTGAGGAGTGAGGGGGATCCGACCAAAATGGCTTTTGTCTCTTCGGCATTCAGAGTGAGTCTAGTGAAATTTGCCTAAGAACTTATTCTATTAATATCTTCTTGGAATTTTAGAATGGCGTCTGAGGAATCGGTCGGATTGAAGGAGAGGTAAATTTGAATGTCGTCGGACAGAGAATGGGAGGTCATTTATATAGATGGAAAAAAGGGTAGAGGATAAGGAACAGCCTTGTGGGACGTCTCTGGACAAGGGTGAATAAGGATGTGGTATAACAATTTTTATTACTTTATGGTGTAACAATTGTTAATTACTTGAATCAAATATTTCTAAACAAAAAACATGACACTTTAAAAAACACAATACTTGGATTTTCTACTTTTCTCCTGAAAATTGGTCTGTTGTTTATATGAACTTTTTTGTAGCTTTTGAGGTCTGCTATCACTCCTATAAAAAATTTCCTCTACTTACGGGACACCCACCCTGTGTGTATATACATATACATTTATGGATTTCCATTCAGTTTGTCTACTCTTGGCGTGCTTTATAACTCACGATTTATTTTGCACTCACCCTGTTCTGCAGTAAATCTTCCTCTGTATTGTTGTTGAAGGTATTGCTGTATTCAACTTCTACAAATGTCTTCTCTTAATTTTCTATTTTCCTGTACTCATCTGAACACTCACAACTTGCCAACCTGTCACTCTCTGTTGATCCCTCGCCGGCTGGTTACCTTGTTTTTTACATATGGCACTTGCTCCCCCTTCCCTCTGTCTATGATGCCACTATTTAAATTCACTATGTTATATTAACATTACAATATATATATATATATATATATATATATATATATATATATATATATATATTTATTTTTTTAGTTTTATTTTCTGCTTTAGGTGGTTTTCACTGACAGATGATGATTTTGATGGAACAAGTGTGACTCAGGAGGCTTGTCCTATGTTCCAAGCTCTTGCAGACAACTTACACAAACTTCATGAATCGCTTTCAGAAAAAATGTTTGGGTCGTTATGGAGAATGGTTTCATCACAACTGAATAATGTAAATATCCATGTAAAAATTAGATTTACTAAAGAATTGTTATTCCTTATGTTACAGATTTATATTAAACTAGTTGTACCTAGCCACATGTTGTTGTGGCTCATTCGGGTTGAAGAGAAAAATAAATAAAAAAGAAAGCAGATGTTTCTAATATATTTTATGTCATAATATTTGTGGATATACAATATCTTTTGTATAGATATAGAGATTGTCTGGTTTTTCAAATGTAGAAAAAGCAACTTATAATTGTCCATGTGAGAAGCAATTCATCTCTAAATCTCCAAAGAAAAAGTACTAAATGTTTAAAACATTATACCTCCCTACCAAACCGTCTGATTTCAGTGCTCTTTTTTTTTTTATCATTTTGCTTATAAAAGCTTATAAATAATCAATCAAAAGTTGTATATTTTTTGAGTTATTCGCAAATATATTTCTGAATCCATCGTAACTTTTTTTTCATTCTCTTTTAAGAGAAGCATGTTATATGCATAACTTAAAAGGGCTTCAAGGAGGAGACTTTAGCTAAGTTTAATTAAAATCGTTACAGCCGTTTAGGCGCTACAGTCTATAGTGACACAGATTTATCAGCCACCTTTCTGAAATGAAAGGCCAGAGGGTAATTAAATGTATATAGAAACTCCTGAATCCGATTGAAACATTACATTAATATTTCAAAGCAATCGGTGAAGAAGTTTTAGAGATTAACAGTTTTTATAACGAACAGCTAACGAACATTTACATTTTTATCTATATAAATTAATATTTAACTTCACTGTATGAATTAATTTGAATATATTAAAAAATAATAATGAAGAAAAGAAGATTGGACATCAATAGTGGGCTAAGTGCCAAAAAATCGAAAATTGAGTTAGACCCAAAAATGTGATCTTAATGCCATTCCAACAACCTGAAGTGCCGGCTAGATGTACATACATATATGGCGCTACATCTCGTCACCGAGACTGGGCCTCCTCCAAAAGCTTTTGCCAGTCAATATGATCAGCTGCACCAACTATCCAGTTTCGGACTCCCAGTAGAGCCCGATATCACTGAGTCCTCGCATCTTACATTTGGTCTGCCAACCTTTCTTTGTCCATGCATCTTTCCGGACAGCATCTTTCTGGGTATCGCCGAATCATTCATACGTGTGAATTGCCCGGCCCAACGAAATCTTCCTATCTTCATAAACTTGACCAAGTCTATATCCTTGTAAAGGCCAGCGAGTTCGCCATTTCTTCCTCTTCTCCAAATTCCATCCTCTTTAAAAGAACCAAAAATCCTTCTCTCAAAGATCAGAAGTATATTTTCATCTCGCTTCTTAAAAGCCCATGCTTCTGATCCATAAGTTAAAACAGGGTGGACCAAGGTTTTGTAGAGAGTGATCTTGGTCCTGTTAGAGAGGAACCTGCTTCTAAAATGCTTCGCAAGGCCAAAGTAGTACCGTCTCGCCATTGCTATCCTCCTGTTGATTTCTCAAGTCTCAAGAGATGTCATTTTCGAAGTTAATATCAGACCCGAGATAGACAAAGCTGCTTACCTTTCGAAATTATATGGTCCAGCCACAAAAGAAGCAGTCCCTGGTCCATCTCCTCTGACTCTCATATACTTGGTCTTAGCTTCATTAATGTGTAGCCTAAGTTTCTTTGCTGCATCTTCCATGGCCAAGAATGACTTTCTTAATGCATATTCCGATCTGGCGGCAATGTCAAAGTCGTCAGCGTACCCAAGAAGCTGAACAGTACTGTTAAGAAGGGTTGTGTTGAGTTGGATTCTGGACATACGCTGTTTGTGCAAAGATAGTTCCCAATTCTCTCGTTGTGGCGAGTGGTGGGGGCAGATCAGAAGATCTGAAAGATAAAATCTAATCCCTTTGGGCTGCCAGTATGATTGCCTCATTCCAGACCAAATATCCACGGAGACAACACCTGCACTTGAGGGCTCTCACAGGTAACTGATGTTCTTGTCAGCATTAAAATGGTAAACTGTTTTTGCACAATTTGTATAACCCACCAATTCATTAAATTACAGTCCACTGCCTAAATAAGTAGAATGTTGCCAATAATTTCAATGTTGCCTATTAAGATCTAAAGTTGCCTATCATGAGAGTTATTTGCCTTGCCTTAATTAAAATTTGGAAAGTTGCCTAAACATACACACTTTCTCTGCATTAAAGTTACAAAGAAGACAGGCTAGAGCATCCCCCTGCCTTACACCGCAGTTAGTATGAAAGTTTTCCAAGAAATCACTTCCTACTCGTACTACACACTTCGAGCCTGACAGCGACATTTTCACGAGATGCAGGCTAGACGTGGCAATTATTAATAGTTGTGCCAAAATGTCCAAAGATGGTATAAGAGTGCCGGGTAGGCGGTTATACTAAATTGAGCTGTGTGCCAAAATAGTTTTACAGTACACTGTGAATGATTAACTACTCTGAATAAAACCTGTTTATTGGTCATTCAATCTGAGACTATTGCTGTTTATTCCTTTTATTAATGCATTACATTGAAAATGATAGTTAAAAATTTTCCCACAAAATCTATGTTTTGTTTTATTTCAATTCAGCTGCAAGTGTAGTTCTGGTGGGTTAGGATTCCGCGTAAATAGGAGAAAATTCTGTTCCATTATTTTTGTGCCCTCAACGAAAATGTGAGCCAAACTCATTTTGAATGAGTTTGATGATCGTTATTTCTATAAAAGATGAAGCCATAATCAATATGATAAAGCAAGGTTAGCAGACAGCAAAAGCATGGTGTTTTTCATTACCAGATAGAAAAAGTGAATCTTATAGATACATAGAAATACTACTTTTATGTATGTTTTCGATATAATCAAATGCAGAACTGAAATTGTAAGTACATATATATATATATATATATATATATATATATATATATATATATATATATATACAGGGTGTCTTGTAAGTAGAGGAAAATATTTAAAAGGTTGATAGTAGACATCAAGATCTACAAAAATGTTCCTATAAGCAGTAGGACAATTTCCAGCAGAAAAGTAGGAAATTTAAAATTTCTGTTTTGTTAAGTGAGTCACGTTTTTTGTTGAATAGGAAGCGATAACTTTTTTTATGTTATGTTTAAAAAAATGTCAAATTATTTTTGATTTTCGTTTATCACACTTTAACTGTACTACATTTACCCCACTTTTTCAAAAACTTCCTCGCTTAATAAGCTTTAAGTCTATATTAATTCTGTTGAGGTTTATTAGAAAAATTTTGAGATTTACCTCAAGTTGTGTAAAGAAATGATCACTTTAAAGTACTCGTGTTTTCTGCAAAAATGACTACAATTAATTGTTTCAAAGCTTTTATTTCTTGTTTTTCCATGATATGGGATGTACTGTAATAAACATATTTGCCTAAAAACACATTTTATTTATAAAAGTAAAAAATTTAAAAATAATGATTTTTCAAATATTTTTTATGTAAGGTGGTTATGAAATTATGTTTTTCTCTCAGATCTTTGTTATAGGGATTGATATGTATATATACAGGGTGACCCGTAAGTAGAGGAAAATATTTAAAAGGTTGATAGCAGATATCAAGATCTATAAAAAAGTTCATATAAAGAATTGCCCAATTTTCAACTGAAAAGTAGGAAATTTAAGATTTATCTTTTTTTAATAGGAAGCGATAACTAAAAAAATATTTGACTTAAGAAATTAAACATTGCTCCATAGTAAACTAGACATAATTTACTTAAAACAAAAGTAGAGATTGTCATTGTTTTAAGGACTAATGAGCGGACAAAATCAGCTAAGTTCTGTTTGAAAAAAAAGTCATAAATTATTTGTGAATTTTTTTTATAATCACCTTTCAACTGTACTACAGTTATCTCACTTTTAAAAAAGCATTTTTTATTACCAAGTTGTGTAATCTCAAGTTTTGTAAAAAAAATTATGTTTTCTACAAAAATTACTACAATTAATTGTTTCAAAGCTTTTATTTCTTGTTTTTCCGTGATATGGGATATAATGTAATTAACATAATTGCCTAAAAACACCATACTATATATTTTATAGCTAACATATTTCTCTTACCTTAACAACTTAAGTACAAATATATTTATTATTATTTATTATTATTATATATTTATTATTATTTATTATATAAAGTATATTTTATAGCTAACATATTTCTCTTACCTTAACAACTTAAGTACAAATCTCTAAAAAGAAATTAATGTTTTAAAGTTTAAAAAAAATTTGAAATATAAAGGTCATGAACCTCGACAATCCTTTTTGTGGATAGCTTTTAGGATGCGAATAAGTATGCATTATGTCGTAATGCTTCAATTGATCTTCAATAATGATTCAATTGATATTGCTTCTTATTGACCATTACTAGTCTCATTTTTTAAGTTTCAAATAAATCTTGCACAAAGACCAACACTTGTCAATAGGAATAAATAAAGTATACTTCATTCATGTGTATATATTTTTTTAATTATTGATGTTTGATTTCAGTTTTTATATGAAGAATTAATTCTCAACAATACTTTTTCCATCACTGGAGGTCGAGTTTTGGAAAAAGATATTATGAAATTCCTTATTCCATTGTTTCAACAGTATACATCAGCTCCGATTCCATATTTCTTCCCGTAAGCAACTTTAAAATTACCACTTTCAGTTATTTTATTTTATTTTAATGATATGTGTTTATTTTAGAATCAAAGAAGCTTGTAATCTACTTTCCTTACCCAGTTTACCAATTGCTGTAAAAAAGGCTGTACTTACTGAAAACCTTCATGAAATGAAATTCGGCCTGTCTGAAAAAATAAAACATTTGAATTTAGAACAAGCCGCAGCTGTCTTGAGCCACAGGATCGATGTCGCTCCTTCTCTTATTTAATATTACCTGTGATTGATTAAGTCCTATTATGTTTATTATTATTGTTTAATTGATTTTATTTATTAAACACTTTATATTTTCTTAGATTTTATATTAAGAGTTTATATTTTCAATAAAATGTTTTCTGTTATTTTTGTCCTGTTTTGTTTTATTATAATTATTCCATTTTATCTTATGTTAGAACATCCATTTTATCTTACAAAACGTGACTATTTCATGCCCAATACTACAAGGCCAAGTGCATCTTGTTTATTAAATAACATTTGAAGTTTGTATGAAAAAAAATTGGACTAATCATTAAAAATAAAACACGGGACAGTGATCACAGTTAAATACTGTACATTTTTTATGGGCACAAAGTAATGTATAATTTGTAATACTGCACCATATACAATATTTTAAGTTCTTTCTCCTTGTGGTGTAGGTATAAACTGTTTTCGTCCTCACCTAGATAAAACAACATAGTTGTTCATGGAAATAATAGTCTTCTCTTATAATAACTCCAATATGCTGCCTAAATTCCATTATCCAAAATTTAAAAAATAAAATACAGCAAGAAAAAATCAATTTGCATTCCTCAAAAGTTTGCACTTAAAACTAACCAATATTTACTCTAAATTTTCATGAAAATATCATTCAGTCGCTTAGGAAAATGTTATTGTGTGACAGCAGCTAGTGGTATCAGTGACAAGTTGTTCTTACTTTTCAACTGTATCTGGTACTTTTTAATGACAGCTACCCTCTTCTTACAATGTCCCCAGCCTAATTCAGAATAGAGGTGTGATGATTGACTTTATCCCTCACTTCTAACTTGTTTATTATACCAAATATTAATCAACCAAAAACTTTTCATCTTCCTGTAGTAGGATATCAAAATTTCAATTGTTGTTTCCAGTTTTAGTATTTTATTGTTATTCAAACTTTTTTTATAATGAACAATCAATAATTATGCCTCTTGCATAGAGGATTAAGTGCAATTCTGTCTATTTGAATTACCTGTTCAATCAAAAAAATATTTTTTTCTTCTTTCTTTATATGTAATAGGGTAAGTTGAATGGTTATAGTAATTGGTAGAGCCCTGCAGTCACTATAAATAAAGTACAGAAGCAAAACTTTAAGCATATATGGCAATTTGCTTGCACATAACAGTCTTTAGGACCAAAGTTCAAATGATATCACAGACCAACTTTCATGCCAGGTCATATTATTGGGCTTGAGTAAGGTTGTTTGAAAATATTACGGTGAAACATCATACAATTTAAAATACAGTCTTGTCCACAGAATTAGAAAAATCAGGTAAGGCTGAATCTTTGAACCTTCAAAATAATTAATAGTTCCAAGTCCTTTTGTCTTTCATACAAATGCTGGGCAATAGAGATTCTTCTTCTGCCAGTGATATAGAAGGTAATATGTTTGAACAGGTAGAAAAGTTTAGGTATCTAGGGTCTACGATGCCTTGAAAAACAAAATTGAAGAAGAGATTAAGGTTACGCTGAAGGCAAGAAAGGCTTGTTATTTTTCTGTGACAAAATTACTTAGCTCACGCCTCTTATCCCGGAACTTAAAAACTACAATCTATACAACCATTATCTTACCTACAGTTCTGTATGGATGTGAAACGTGGCCACTTACATAAAGGGATGAGCAACATCTTAAGAGTTTTAAAAATAAAATATTCTGTAGAATATTCGGAGCGAAGAAGAATGAGTTAACCAGAGAGTTCAGACGGTTACACAACTCCGCATTGTGTGAACTTTATCCGGTTAATATAATTGAGGTGATTACATCTCAGGGAATCAGTGACAAAGGTGGCTTAATAACAAAAGAATTCCTAAAAGGTTAATATTTGAGGAGTAGACCGAAGCGAAGGTAGGAAGATTGTGTTAAAGCCGATCTGAAGGGATGACGAGCGGTGGAGGTAGGCATGTAGTAATAGTAATAAGCGATTGGTGGTGTCGGCATCGACTCCACCAAGCTGGTGGAGGTTCGAATTCACTAAGCCTTTTATTATTATTAATTATTTTTTTAACACTTTAAAAAAGGTATTTTTCAGGAGTGGGGAAGAATAAACTTCAACCACTTCACGTCAATTTTTGTAGTTAAATAATCTATTAGACAGCTGTTGATGTTAAATAAGGTGAAAGGTTAATTTAGTTTTATCTTCCAAAAAAAGTTTTAATACTTCATTTTTGTGTAACAAAAGTGTTTTATCAAGACAAGATTGCTAAGGACAAAACACCAAACAAAGATTGAGCGGATTTCACCGCCAACAATGGTGAAATCATCTCAAACTAAGTTAAGTAACATAGACTTTAAAAACAGTGATATAAACAATGAAGACAATGGCTCCTGGGAACTGGTTATTGGTCGTAAAAGACCTATGATAGATTCCAGCGAGCCAAGAGCTCAAAAACGACGGACAGAATCTATCCCAACCTCGAACAGTTTTCAAGTTCTAACCAACATAACTAACTTACAAACAGAAGAAGTTGGAAGAGCGCCTCAAAACGATAAAACTACACCAATTTTTATAAGCGGTGTTGAGAATTATCGTGCATTAATCTCATTTCTAGAAACCGAAACGGGTCCTAATATGTTTAAAACGAAGTCTACATTGAAAGGAGTCACTGTGTACGCAGAAAATCCGGACGTTTATCGAAAATTAAATTCTAGCCTGCGAAATAAAGGCACCAACTTCCACAGGACAAATGCCCAAGGATTGTTGTTAAATATCTTCAACATGGAACACCAGTTGATATCATTAAAGAAGAATTTAAAAAATTGGGTTACGAAGGCACCAATGTAGTCAACGTCATATCTCGAACCCCTTCCTATGTTCTTTGTGGACATTACAAAAGAGACATTTAGAGAAGAAATTTGTAGTATTGAATTTCTGTATTATTCACATATTAAAATTGAGGAACCGCGTCAAAAGAGAAATATTCCTCAGTGTGTTCGGTGCCAGCAATGTGGGCACACTAAAACTTATTTCAACCATCGACCACTATGCATAAAGTGCGGTGAATATCATTTCAGTTTGTTAGAGCTGGTGAAAAAATCTTCCATGCAGTGTTTCTGACTTCCATTCTTTCAGTCGGTCATTGTCCATGAAAATGATAGATGCAACAGTTTATGGAGTAGCTAATTGTAATGCTGTGAGTCCATGGTCAAAAAGATACTTCACTTTGTTTGAAGTACTCTCTGAAGGTCAGTTCTTGTTTTAGGCATGCCTCTTCAATGTTCATGAGACCTCTCCCACCTTCCTTCCTTACTTGGCAAATAAAGCCTTGCCATAGATGCAGTGGGATGATGCATTCTGGACTTAGTCATACTCTTCCGTATAAATCTATTCAATTCCTGGAGTGAAGTTGTAGACCATTATAAAATTCCGGAACTGTCGGATTATTATTAGTTGAATTTATAAATAATTGAATAAAAAATATTTTATCTGTTAGTTAATAGTATATTTATTTGTGAAGAATACAACATATTTGTTTATCAATATTGGTTAATAAACAATAACAGCTTGAATTATGATTTGTTTATGTTTTAAACTAAGATAGTTATGAATACCTGCTGTTGGTCTCATGTTTTTTCTGACATGTTTCCCCAATTATTTCCAGTAGTTATTACTATTGGGAAAGGAATTTCAATATGAAACTCTTTCAAGAAATGGTTCTTGTTATCTTGTACAACTTCTTCCAGTATACCTTGAAGAATGAAAATTCACAATAAAATTTAAAATAATCATTAAGATTAGGCTTAACTATATAACAGTTAAAAATGTCTCAACGCTTATATTAAAAGAACAGCTTTCTTGTCTTAAGATCTTTTTGTTTGTGCCTATACAGATAAAGAAAACATGTAATAAAAGAAGTGTTTTTTTTATGACAAAAAAGTTCAAACAGCAATAAGCAAGCTTATGATAGTATAGAAAGAAATATACTGTATACAAATTAAAATAGTTTTCTAAAGCTTATCAGTGGTAATTAGATAGTCCTACAAGAAAGCTAAGGAATGGTGAAAATTCGAGGAGAGTTATTGAATAAATTTGGCATCCAGAAGAGTGTGAAAAATGGAGTCCCTCTTTTTCCAGTATAATTTAATCAATGAAGCCAATCAAGAAAGAGGGTTCAAAGTGTGTGTAGAGTGTAGAGAAGCACTAAATCACAAAGTAATTTATGACCGTCTTCTTAGGTACAGCAGTATATTTTTAATTTACCAAAATGTACACCAAAAACTGGGTATTTTGAATTTTGCCTGTTAGGATAGAGTCTGATCCCAATTCGGCAGACAACGTTTTTTGACATCTAAGGGTTATTCAGTTTCAAACTGACTGAAAACAAACCATTTTCAAATATTGCTATTTTTTACGTATTTCGTTCCTTTTTTTACAGGAGCCCACTTTTAAATTATAACTGCTTTGAATTGGCAGACTAGCTCAAATTGAATATTGAGGATGAATTGTATTTAAACCGATGCTATATGACTAAAAGTCACAAATTTTCATTTTGGATCTTTCACTATTAGAGAGTATGATATGTGTAAATAACGTTTTTAATCTGGATGGAACAATATCGGTGGTCGGGAAGAACGGGGTATACTGATGATTAGGCATTATTAGGGAAGACAGAAATTATAAACAAGGAAGACTAGTAAAGAATGGGGGCTCGAAATAAATATGGATAAGACTAAATTTATGGTTAGATGCAAAATCAACGAAAATTTTAATGTTAATTAGAAAAGTTTGAAACATAAAAAGTATAATAATACAACGTTTTGAAATGAATTCTTTAATTTAAAAAAAATAATATTGAAAGGTAATGAAAGATAAATGGATACAGAACATAACTTTTATGAATTTATCTATTTTTTATGAACATTTTTTAGCATTGGAATTTGATTTGAAAAATCAAAAAATATTTTTAAATGGGACAAAAAATTATTTATAGTTTTTGCTATAGAACTAGTAAGTTGTAAGATTTGTTATTAAGGCAATAATAAACTCATACGTTTAGAAATAAATATTAAATAATGTTGTTTAAACTAATAGGAAATATTAGTAAATATATAGGTAAAATATTAATAGGTAAATATATAGGTAAAATATCGATTATATACAAAATGGAAATTAGGTTGGTACATCAATCCTACTTCAGTAAGTTCAGAGTAGGTTATATTTACATTCTTTTTGAACCAGTGGTTGGTCAGTGGACATTGTTGTTTGTTTGTTTGTTTACATACCTAGCAGTGTTTAAAAATGTGCCCTATTTTTGTTACATAGACTATAGTTCATAGCATTTCTTTCGTCTATTTAATTCAGAAATGGAATCAGAAGATGTTTTTCACTATGTTTACAGTTCTTCTTTAAATGTCAGGGTACAAGTTAAAATTGGAACTTTAGAAGGACTGAAATTTGATCCTAAATATGATAAAATTTTGAAAGAGTCTATGTTAAAATTTTCTGGTCTGTATCAACAAAATAAATGTGCAGATTTAATGGTTATGTGCCAGGTTTATGCTAGTGGTAGACCTATATCTTTACCAGTTTGGACTTCTTACAAGAATTTTACAAATCGATGGAACTGGAGTGAGTGGTTAACATTACCCATAATGTATTCTGACCTTCCACGTAATGCAATATTGGCACTCACTATTTATGATTGTAATGGTCCTTCCAAAATGAGACCAGTTGGAGGTACTTCCATTACTTTGTTTGGAAAGCACAATGTTTTTCGTCAAGGTATGTTGGATTTGAAAGTATGGCCTGATGTAGTTGCGGATGGCTCTGAAAATTCTACTACACCTGGAAAAACTCATGGTACTTGTAACGAAAATATGCAGAGACTTGGAAAATTAGCTAAGAAACATAGAAATGGTTTTATGCCTGTCATTGATTGGTTAGATAGGTTGACCTTCCGTGAAATTGAGAAGATTAATGACAAAGAAAAGAGAATGTCTGAGTATTTATACTTGATGATTGAATTTCCTCAGGCAACTGTTGATGGAACAGCCTATTCTATTGTTTGGTTTGAACAAGATGGAGATGAAGTTTTCCAATTTCATGCGCACCCTGATATTGTAACAGTTCATGATCCAGAAATACTTCAAGAAAATTTAGTTGAAAGTAAACATCATAAGTTAGCTCGAAGTTGGCGCAGTGGATTATCAGATAAAGATCTGAAGCCTAATGCAACAGTTAGAGATACTTTAAACAGGATAGTAGGGTATCCCCCTACACAACAACTTACTACTGAAGAACAAGATCTACTTTGGAAATTTAGGTTCTATTTGAGCTCTCAAAAGAAGGCTTTAACTAAGTTCTTGAAATGTGTAAATTGGAGCCTTAGTGGTGAAGTCAAACAAGCAATACATATGCTACATGTGTGGTCACCAATGGAAGTGGAAGATGCTCTACAGTTGTTAAGTCCTTATTTTACTCATCCTTCAGTTCGAAGATATGCTGTAACCAGATTGCAACAGGCTCCAGATGAGGATTTACTTCTTTATCTTTTACAATTAGTGCAAGCTCTGAAGTATGAAAATTTTGAAGATATTTCAGAAGCATACAAAAAATCATCTCAAACAAAAATTATTGAAGAAAGCATTTCTGGATCAGTTGATATTAAAACTGAGAGTTCAGTTGAAGATGGAAGAACAATGGATCTTGCTTCTTTTCTGATTAATAGAGCATGTCAAAACAGTACTTTAGCCAATTATTTTTATTGGTACTTGTTAACTGAATGTGAAGACCATGATTTAGCTAAACAAGATAATAAACCTCGCAGTATGTATCTTAAAGTTATGAAAATGTTTTTACAAGCTCTTCAATATGGACCGCCAGAATGGCAAAATCGTCAGAATTTTATTAAACGTCAACAAAATTTTGTTGATAAATTAGTTAAATTGATGAAAACTATTGCCAGAGAAAGTGGAAATAGAAAAAAGAAAATGGATAGACTTCAGGCTCTACTCGCAGACACAGATACTTTCAAAATAAACTTTTCCAATTTTGAACCGTTACCTCTTCCCTTAGATCCAAGTATATATGTTAAAGGCATCATACCAGAAAAAGCTACACTTTTCAAGTCAGCGTTAATGCCTGCAAGATTAACATTTGTAACCACAGCTGGTACAGAATATGTAGCTATTTTCAAAAATGGTGATGATTTGAGGCAGGATCAGCTTATTCTCCAAATAATAACTTTGATGGATAAGTTATTGCGTAGTGAAAACCTGGATCTGAAACTTACACCATATAGGGTTCTTGCTACAAGTACTAAGCATGGTTTTCTTCAATTTATTGATTCACTGCCAGTTGCTGAAGTTTTAGCTACTGAAGGAAGTATACAAAACTTTTTCAGAAAACACCATCCTTGTGAAACAGGGTCCTATGGTATTGCTTCAGACATAATGGACACTTATGTCAAGAGTTGTGCTGGATATTGCGTAATTACTTATCTTTTAGGAGTAGGTGACAGACATTTGGATAATTTACTTTTAACAACAACTGGAAAACTTTTTCATATTGACTTTGGATATATCCTTGGTCGTGATCCTAAGCCATTGCCTCCTCCAATGAAATTAAGCAAAGAAATGGTAGAAGCTATGGGTGGAGTCAATTCTGAGCATTTTCATGAATTCAAAAAGCAATGTTACACTGCATTCCTACACCTTCGGCGTCATGCAAATTTGATTTTGAATTTGTTCGCATTAATGGTGGATGCTAGTGTCCCTGATATCGCTTTAGAACCTGACAAAGCAGTTAAAAAAGTGCAAGACAAACTGATGCTTGACCTCGGTGATGAAGAAGCCGTGCATTTTTTTCAGAATCTCTTAGAAATGTCGGCTACTGCTGTAATGGCAGCTCTTGTTGAGCAACTCCATAAATTTGCACAGTATTGGAGGAAGTAACAAAACTCTGCCTTAAAGCTCTAATGTTTTTTACCTCAAAACGAAAATTAAAAACTAACAGATTTAAGTAGTTTTTAACACAGATTATTCTTAATTTGGTTTCATTATCTATTTTAAAAATAAAATCAACTTTTAATAATTAATCAATCATTAATAATAAATAACTCTAATATTTATATCCGGAAAAAAAGTTAACAAAATTGTATTCTATATTTAAAATTACTAAGTTTTAGCCGTTTTCAAACACATCCTACATATTATGAACCTAGTCTAAAACATATTGATAATCTTATAAGTGTTCGTTTGTTATATGTTTTGCTAAACAAATTTTCTTATTAGTTATTTCTGTGTAAAATGCCCATTGTCGGTTTTGTATTTTATTCTTATTTCTGTATTATTCATAGAATTATGTTTGGAGTTTTCATTTAAAACAATCTAACATCATTTCTCACAATTTTTTTTAACAGTCAGTGAAATATAATTCTGTGTATATTACTCAAATAAAAATAAAATATCGCATACAATGAGCATCTTACTCATAAATAACTTTAATAAAAAAAATGTATTTAATCAAAAATAAACAGCTTACAAATACTTTTTAATAGAAGAGTGTGGATATATTTTAGACTAGGGTAGTAATATGTATGTGTTAGAAAATGCCCACAGTATAAAGGGCTGAAACTGTATATTATTGTATATATTGTATATTTTCTTTTGTTGTATTTTTTTAATAAATATAATATTTTTTTCATAACATAATATTTTTTTATATAAATATTCATAAATATATCCAATGGATTAATGAATAATTAACTATTAAAAGGTTTTTTATCTCAAATAATGAGTGGCCTAATGAAAGGTAATCTCAGAGATAAAATCATTTAATTAAGCAGTTACAGCTATAGGGAAAATATTTGTAAATATTTAAGCAATGGATGACTGACTGGAAGCTCTAAACAGCATCTCATTGCGTTTATTAACCTTTGTATAGAGATGAAGAATATAATGTATCAATAATTATTTATGATATGTTACGTGTAAATTGTAAATATTCATGATTATAATTATATTTTATATACAAAGTTACTGTACATATTAAATTAAAATTTTATAATATGTTAAATAATTGTAACTATTTGTTGATAAACTTGCTGTTATTATTGGTATTAAAACTTAAGACTGAATTTGGTAATTTTAGAATTATTCTCATTATTTGAAATCATTCCTTCCTGCTTTGAACATTTGAAAGGTTACGTGAGAAAATGATCAATGTTAATTTTGTTTGGAAATGAGAAACTAATATTACGTGGGGCTGATTCATGTGAATCATGTTATGAATCAATCAATTGTGGGGCAAATTATCATAGTTTGTTCAAATTGAAGGGATAAAAAACCTTTGATTAATCAAGATCTACCCAGTAATGAGAAAAAATTATCAAGGTCGAAACCCGATCCCTGAACTTTTTTTTTTTAATATCCCTCAACCTTCTTATTTCCTTCTCTGTAGGATCTTAGTTACTGGTTTCGCTCTTAACTCCTCTTATTCTGTTATTTCTAAAGGTTCCTTCAAGTTTGGCCGGCTATTCTTCTGAGGCAATTTTTCTGCTCTTGAGTCTGTAAATATGGTTGGGTGGGAAGATAAATTGTATTAAAAATGTGCGTATTTCACTTTTTTTCTCAACAGTGTTGCAGATTAGGTAATAAATTTTGTTTTTTTTAAATCTTGTTGGTTTTAGATGAAATTTAGGTTGTTTCTAAAAGAATTTAAAACAAAAATTTGGTTTACAGGAAAAATATAAATTTTTTTCTTGCTCATGCTAAAAACCTTAATTTTTTAAGTTAGTAAACAATGGAATTATCAAAGTTGGCATTAATATTTACTCCTCATCACCCTTACTCACCAATTTTATGATTTTTCCCAAGAGATATACTATTGTACTGGACAAAAGAATACTGTGGAATTCTTGGAAAATAAGTAAAATTCGGCAACATTTTTATATTTATGACAAGTCAAGTAAAACATGAAAAATAATTTTATCTTTACTGATGTGAATACGAATGCAAACATTTGTATTCATATTTGTAATATTACACATAAACGAGAAACCATATTACAGTTTTTCAAAATTCAACTATAATTTGTCTTGTTCAGGCATACTTCATTTTCAGACATAGTATTAAAGGCTTCAAGAAGACATTGATGGTATCAACAATTAAGCAGTTTGCAACAATCTAAAGCTGAATGTTGAGAAGACCAAAGCCATTTTCATTGGTTCCAAGCATCTGATTAATACCATTCCTTATTCCCTACTCTACCTCAATGGCCTACCTATCCGTTTCCACTCTTCGGTTAGAAACCTTGGGGTAATGTTTGATCAATATTTGTCCTGGAATATTGATCAATATTTCCCGAAAATCCATTGCTACCCTCAAACAGTTCCTAAGATTCAGTGATTCCATGGCCTTTAAAATCCATCAGCTCATAGTTTCCTCACTCATTTTCCCTCATTTCGATTATGGCTGCCTTGTATCTGGTGGGCTTGAGACCAGATTAAAGAGACTAATGAATTGTTTCATTAGATATATCTTTGGGAGTCCCATCTCCAGTTCGTATGTCGAGTTGAAGTGACTCTATCCAGTCTTCCGACGGTAATACTTCCTGGGTGTATTCCTTTTTCAACCAAAAAAACCCTCTTACCTGCTCAATTTGTTTGCTCCTTGTTCCTCTGTCCATTCATTCAACACGAGATCCCAGCCCTCAAACCTGTTTATTCCTTCTCAGTGAACTGTATCCTTTAAAAAATCCTTTGTCATACGTGCTACCTTGTTTTGGAATTCCCTACCAACCTCCATAAGCAAATCCTCATCCTTAACCTCATTTAAACATAATTTATGTATCCATCTCTTCAACAATCAATCTTCCGAATATGTGTAAAATAATGTTCACGTTTTTCAGACCTATCAGTCGCATTTAATGGTATCCTACAGATAATTATATATCATCCACATTATTAATGTATACAAATATGTGAACTCGCACATCAAAATTTATCTATAATGTCATATATCTACCAGTGCATTTTCTTTATTGTAATTTTAGATCTAGATATCCATGTAATTTAATTTATTCCTAATTATTTCTAATGCCAGACAATTGTCATTAAATTGTACAATGTAGTTATTCTAAGAGGGCTTATTCCCAGTATAAAATTTACTTTTCTTCTTCAATATCTGAAATCAATTTCCTTAAGAGAAATATTGATGTACAGTATTTTATTTTATGTTTCACTTGACGTCATAAATATTGGGGCTGGTATAGTTTTGATATAGAATGGTTAGGGCACTGTACTAGTAAAGTGAAAATTATAGGATTGAATCCCAGTCCCTACTTTCCAAGATGGCCGGTCTCTGTGAAAAGTTGAGCTAAAAACAGGCTAAGAAAAAAAATCTTAATTGTCCACCTTCTCCTTGCAATGTTGGGCAGACATCATTTATCTGATTCCCTGACAGCATTGATATAACTTAAAAGGAGCTACTATCCTGGAAGTTGTTTCTATCAAGCAAATAAGGGAATCAACTTCAAAGGGAAAGCGCTGCCATCATGTCGACCGTCTAAAATCTCAGCATAGAACATTGATCAAAATGAGAAAATTCATCCATAAGATTATGTGAATATTACAGTATTTTTTTTTCAGATCTGAATGCAATCGTATAAATCTTTACAGGTTTGAATGCCGATGCAAATATTTATTTTCAGACCTGTAAATTTATGGGAAAAAGAATATTTGTTAAAAAAACGTATTCAATCATAATATTATTAAAAACAAAAGATGCTTTAATAATGAAATAATTTCAACTTCTAATTGGCATATGTAAGTAGAACCAAATTTAATAGTAGTATTTGTTATTTAAAATTTCTTTCTATTTTATTCTAAGTACTTACTAATCATATTATGATAGTAATCATTCCTAACTTCCCATAATAATTCATCGTGTATTTGTAACATGAGCCTTGCAAAGATCCCGTTATTTCTCAACTTTTTTTCAATTGCTATCATGGTAAATTTACAAATATCAGCAGCTGATCCTGCAATAACATTTAATGATAATAATAACAATTTATTATTGTTTTAATATGTCTAAAGTATAGATTATCAAACTAACCAACCTTGAATAATAAAATTTATCGCTTTCCTTTCAGTACTGCTTCTAAGAGCTAAATCACTAGAAGATATGCTAGGGAACATCCTTCTTCTTCCACTTACAGATCTCAATACCATAGACTTTCTCACTTCACTTAAAACAGTTTCTCTGAAGTTCCCAAGACACGGAAAAATTTCTTTAATACAAGAAAAACAAGTGTAAGACTTAAAAAAATTAAATTTTCAAACATTGTGAGAAAATTAAAGTTTTCACCATTTATTTATTTAGATTTCTAATCAACTAATTATAATTCTATAATACTTTATGATAAACAAACAATAAGAAATATAATTAAATTTTAAAAACTTTTATCAAATTTTGATTCTTTCTGTTGTATGAAATATGAATAATTTAAGGGGAGTGGATTATCAGTCTACTGTTTTCAAATTTTAGAGCATCCTGACTTGCTCTCTTTTCTGAGGCAACTTCCTAAGAAGAGCGACTGTTGGATAAGTAGTATGAGCGACCTTATGCCAATGTGGTGAATTGTGTACTGAATTCAAGATGAGGGTCATTAATCTCTGAAAACCTTGTCATATAAGCCTACAATGACTGTGACCTTCAGAACAATATTAATAACCTCGAAAAAGAATTAAGAATTAAAAGAATGGAAATTAACTCGGAGAAAACGAACTGCATGTATATTATAATTCGGACGGAACGGATCCATTACAAGCTCTCAGATCGATCATGTACTCGTCAGCACCAGATATAAATCCTCATTACTTGATGTTCGCACAAAACGAGGGGCTAACATTGACTCGGACAACAACCTTATAATTGCGAAAATAAGGTGTCGGATATCAACAGTGAAGTACCAGCCTCGACGTTCTCTGACAAAGTATAATATTGAAGAATTAAAGGACGGTGATACAAGCATTAGATTCTCACACCAATTGGACATCAGATTAAGGAGTTCTGTCCCAGAATTAAACCTCAAGTCGCAATGGAACTCATGTCGCACTGCACTTATGGAAGTAACGATCAAGTTTGTAGGGGATAAGACCAAACAGAGATATAACCCGTGGTTCGATGAAGAATGTGGTTCAGTGACCAAGAGAAAAAACATCGCATACAATAAAATGATGCAAAGAAAGCACACACGAAGCTCTGTCGAGGAGTACAGAACAATGAGAAGGCGCGAGAGGCATGTCCATAGGAGGAAGAAAAGAAGATGGGAGAATAAGAGTCTACAGGAGGTAGAAGAGGCCTTCATCTCCAAAAATACTAGAGAATTCTTTCAGGTTGTTAATAAATGAAGAAAGCCCTTCATCGCCTGTACCACAGGATGCAGAGCAAACGATGGTTCTTTGGTAACTGATAAACAAGGCATTTTGGACAGATAGGCTGAATAATTTTCAACCCTTCTTAACAGAAATGGCACAAATGTCTCAGAGGCAAATGATCCAATTGCAGGTGGTAAAGACGTAGAGCCCCCAGACGAGGAAGAAATCAATGAAGCCATAGAGGGACCAAAAAGCAATAGAGCCCCAGGCATTGATAACATCTCTGCAGAGTTGTATAAACATGGCAGTCAAGAGCTCATAAAACTCCTCCAGGAAATGTTTCATGCCGTTTGGGTTGATGAAGAGCTTCCAAGTAATTGGAAAAAATCCCTTATATGCCCAGTGTACAAAAAATGGGACTCTATCAATGTAATAATTACAGGGGCATATGCCTTCTACCCACCGCCTACAAAATTTTTTCAAGGATTCTGTATAGAAGAATAATTTCTTATGCCGAGGCTGAAATTGGAAAATACCAGGCCGGATTCATTAAGGATAAATCAACAATCGATCAAATATTCACCTTGCGAATCCTTCTGGAGAAAACCAAAGAATACCAAATTGGTACACATCACATCTTCATTGATTTCAAGCAAGCATATGATTCCATAAACCATGAGGAAGCATACAAAGCAATGATAGAAATGAATGTACCTACAAAACTTGTAAGGCTTGTTAGAACGACAATGGAGGTTAATGAGTGTTTCGTACGAGTACAAGGTAACTTGTCAAAGGGGTTC